GCCTCAGATTTCCAAGAGCTGTTCAATTGTTGACATACCTGTCTTGCCCATCTTAGGTAAGAAGCCAAGGACCAAGGCACCCAAAATCCAACGTTTGGTGACCCCGAGAGTCCTGCAGCATAAGCGTAGACGCATTGCTCTAAAGAAACAACGAACTCAGAAGAATAAGGAAGAGGCTGCCGAGTATGCCAAGCTTCTGGCTAAGAGAATGAAGGTCTGCTTCCTATATGCTTGGGGAAGGGGATTCTTTGGTGGGAAGGTTACGTGTTCCTTTTCGTGTGACTCTTGAACGTAAAGCTATGTATCAGAGATAGATGCCTCCTCACTGGAGAATGTTGGTTAAAGCTGAAACTGGGGGAAATGGTTGGCTCAAGGACTAATCACCCACACGTGTATAATAGGTGTAATTGAGTTTATACATAACATGAATATTTCTTACTGAAGTGATTAGCATGGGGGGTGGGGGGGAAGCCACCTGTTAACTTCAATGAAGTACTGACATGTTGAAAATGTGTCCCAACACATGGAGCAAATAAAATAAGTTATGTCTTTGTTCTATCCTATCCCTAGCTATTTTAATCCACAGGTAATTGAAGCGCTCACTCAGCATCACTTGTACGATACGAAGAGCGAGTGGATAAGGGTGAACAATAGATGGTGCTAGGAATATAAATATAGTACAGTTTTACTATACAGAATCAAGTCTGTTGCTTTCACCTAAAAATGGCTTTTACGCTTTAGGGAAATACTTGACTTTGGATATTGGGGGAACAAGGGGATTTTTGAAAGTGTGTCATGTAATAGCAAAATTTATGGACAGGAAGATGAGGCTGGGGATATATGCTTTCTTAAGCATGTTGGTGATTTCAGAAGGTGAATGTAGTAGACATTTCTGGCCACTGCCTTAAATGTTATTAGAATATACTTACATATTTGGAAACTGACAGAATAGGAGATAGGAGTAGATAGATGCTAGATAGATAGCATAGTAGATGCTATGGTGATAGAGAAGAAAATTCACACAATAAATTTACACCATTTAAAAAGCTGAGATGCAGTTCCAGGCTAATGTGTAATATTCTTGATCCCCTTTTTCCAGGAGGCAAAAGAGAAGCGGCAAGAACAAATAGCTAAGAGGCGTAGACTTTCTTCTCTGAGAGCTTCTACATCTAAATCTGAATCAAGCCAGAAGTAAGCAATGAACTGTGCTAAAAACATTAAAATAAAGTTTTTATGATCAGAACAAACTTGATTCTATGTTATCCTTTTTTGCTAATTCCTGTCAAATTACCACTTTAATGAACGAATGACTGTATTTCTGCTTGATGCAGAGGTTTCATTTTTGTATCATTCAGGGTTGTGACGATTTTGGCCTTTCCTTGCTCAGCAGTGGCCTCTTATTTATTTCATTCTTATAGCAATAGAATTTAGACTTGTATGCCACTCCACAGTGCTTCATAGCACTCTCTTGAACAGTTTACAGTGTCAGCGTATTTCCCTCAACAATCTGGAACCTCATTTTACTGAACTCAGAAGGATGAAAAGCTAAGTCAACGTTGAGCCGATTACGATAGAACTGTTGGCTGTGGGCAGAGTCAGCCTGCAATACTGCGTTCTAACCACTATGACACCATGGCATACGTATGGAACATACATTTAATTTGGGCTTTAAACCTCTGCTAAACAGTATCTCCTTCACACACAAAAAGCAGACATGAGAAGGTGTATCTGTATACTTTTATTTTTTTTAATGATAATATTAACAAGTGGTTTCTAAATCACTGAGGGTTCCTATACAAAAGTAATTCAAAAAATTACCACCTTTTTATCTACAGGAAAGTAGGTATTCGTTAGATTAAAGCAAGCATACAGCTGACATCGTATTTGTACAATTATAATTACTGCATTGGTAATAGAAAACTCTCCCATGTCAGTCTTTCCATATTGCAAATGCATAATGAAAAGTTCCTAAAGAAACTCATGCATTTCTCTCTGTTTCTAAATCCTCTCCCTTTTTATACTTCGATTATCTACAATGCAAAGTAGTTGCTTGGAAGATTAAAAACAAATGTATCCGTTAATGTTGACTTTAAAGGTGACTTGCAAGTTTTCCTCAAAACATTAAAAGCTTGGGGATGTTCAGTGCCTCATTTCTAAAGTATTAGGAGCTGTAAAACATGCTTTCTAACATTGCTTCTATGAAGAGGTGATCAGGGTTCACATTTCTCTTTAGTCTTCTAAAACTATGATCATCCAATGCATATTTTAGAAACAGCCCTTTTTAAATTATACAGTTTAATTTGAAGCCAAATATAGTAAAGTGTTTTAGATTATGCAGATTAGTTAATGAGCATAAACCTGTCTTAAATGTTTTTATAGCAAACCTATTTTATAAAATAAATTGAAAATGGGAAACAGCAGCTTCATTGCTAATTGCTCTGTTAATTTATTTTTTTTACAAAACTACTCAATAGAGGTCTTAATTTATCTGACAGTGGATATTTCAGTCTGATGTGCAGTAATAACATCAATAGTAGCAAGTTGTGTGCAATTTTATATTCCCATATTTTTCCCTTACAATTAAATAGCTCTGAATTATGTGAATTTTTACATGGCATTTGAGAGCAGATACCCTCCACATAATCTCATTTAACTCAAATCTTGTTTTATAGCATAAATACATAAGGTTGCCCTGAGGGATATTTTTCTACCCCTCCCCAAAACAAAGGGATTTCCAAATATGTATAAAAATTAGCTGTACAAATATAATTGGTATTTTATAACTGAATACTTGCCTTTTATTGTTCACCAACCATTGAAATGTGAACCTTTGAATCAGTAAAGAACTATAAAAACACTTAAATTAAGTCCCGATTTCACTTAACATATTAAATATTATCTACATCAAAGGATATGAGATCCCATAATTTGCATAATCACTAACTCCTCCTTTGTGGCTTCTAATATACATGTAGTAAGGGCAAAATTGGCTATTCCTCTATAGATAGTAAGAGGGATCTGTGTCTGTACTTGATTCAAGAGCAAATTTGGAAATAGCTTGTGATTAGCAAAAGCTCAATTGCAATTGGATCTCCACCTTTCGATCAACATTGAAACACTGAATATTTTTTTGATCTATGCATATTTCAATTAAATAAGATTGAAGGTGATCTATTCGAAAGGCACACAAGAGCTTTGGTATGAAACCTGTGTAGGATTAAATCCAGTCATTGATCTAAATTTAGTTTAACTACAATTTATTGGGCAGTTGGCTAGGCAACCTTGGCAAGTGCAAGATTGTTGAATGCTTGACAGAAATTGAAGAAAGATTTTAGTCAGCAATGGCATTGTTTAGAGATGCTGGAAAATTTCATTCAAGAATGGAACTCCCTCATGGAATTACATGTTCACTATCCTGAGAGATGTGACCCCCTGCCCTGTTGGGATGTTCAGCATGCTGGAAACTTGGGAGCATGAGCGTTGTCATGAAATGACTCATGGATCTAAAACACCACAAGGTAAGATGACAGACCTGCTTCTCCCCTGGCTTTTCTCTGTGTGTATTGGGGGAAAAATACTTTAAAAAAAATCTAGGCTGCCTATATTTGCTTTCTAAAGATGTTCTGGAATTTTTGCAGGATTCAGAGCATGTTTTGCAAATAAGAATGGTACTGTACTTGAGGGTGGCATGGCATATTCCTTTGTGCCAGTATCACATTTATTTAAAAAAAAATTAAAATAACAGTGAATATGGTGATACAAGTTTGTCCCACACTGGTGCTCCAAATGTCAAAATATTTGTACTTCTGGATCAACAGTCAAAGTGTCTTACTGTGTACAAGGCTAATGGCAGTTCATAAGCTAGTTTTGAATTTTGACATTATAGAGGGATCAAAAAGATTGCCATTAAATATGCAGTGATTTAGGACAGCCCACATTGCTTCTGATGAAAAATAAACTATAAACTATAAGTTAGTTTATACATGAAACAAAAAAACGGTAGTGGTAAATAGCTTGCTTTTTTTTTTTTTTTTAAATCAAGAGCATTATTTCTGTCCTTATGTTAAGATATAATTGCTATAATGTAGGTATGACTATATAGAATTGTGTTTCACAAGAGGTTTATTAACATAAAATCATGCGTAGATGAAAAACCCATTGTACTTGCTGATGGACATAAATGATTCAAAAATTAAAATAGGTAATTGTACAGAAAGTGTTAACACCCTAATCCCCCAACACTTCCTTGAAAGGGTGAGACCAGAAAGTAATACAATGGAAACTGTTTTAAACAGTAACTTTTAAAAACATGGAAATTGTTTTAAAAACAAATTTCCAAGAAGTTTGAAATGTGGCTTAGAGTAAATAATTTTTTAAAAAATGCTATCACACCAGATTGTTCCAAAAAGTGCAAAATGTTGTATTCTGTGTAATGTTGTGATAATTTCACTTTGACTAAGATTTGCAATAGTTTATCTCCAGCAGTACTACTAAAGAATGATTAATTATATGGGCAAAAGACAGCCTTGAAAAGTCATGATCAAGAATGCATTTTGTATCTAAATCTTAATCCGTTTTTAAAATCCATAATTGTTCAAAATCATTGAACCGTCCCTAAATCTTTATTACAATACTGCTTTAAATGAATATCTGATGTTGGAGATAAACCCAGGAATTGTGAAGAAAATTGAGGTGTGAATATAATAAGCAGGGAAATAAAATACTTTAACATTAAAAATTAGTATTTTCATTTTAAGTAAATTCATCTTCAAGTGTATGAGTATAAATATATTTAGCACAGAAGTATTTACCTCGGCCAGTGCAAAAAAGATACATATCCCACAGGTTAGAAAAAATAAGCAGGGATGGAACATTAGTGCACTGAAATTTTATGTATATGTGTGTGTGTGTGTACACACACACACACACACACACATATGTTTGTGGGTCTGTGTATTATAGATATACACAGACCCGCACATGCGGTTTTCTATGAATGCTAAAAATATGAATATTCCATGCCCCTTTATGTACCTTTGTTCATCTACTCTCAGTTTTCCTTTATAAAAAAAAATCTTAGAGCCACTCCGGGTAGACACCCATCATTGCTTCAGAAAACATATGTACAGTTTAAAAAGTTACTATGAGAAGAAGAAACAACAAGCTTTGCTTTACACAGCCAGGATAAAGGTTATAATTTTTCTGTGAATTGGGATAGTGATGGCTTTTAAGAGGCCCCTTTGCTAAAGCTACAGCCCATTCTTTTGAACCAAGGGAAATAAATGCATTTCATAATGAAAATGTACATTAAATATGCACATACAAATGTAGTAGAATTTCCTCCATACATAAATCAATGTACTCTGGAAATAGAAGGCTAACCTGAGCTAGAAGGAACACTGAAGTCTTATAAGAAAGCAAGCAAATTAAAGTCCCTTTGTTATCTTTGTTACCTTCTAGATGGAAGGGAAGGATTAAATAGAGCATGGTTGAAAGTTAACTGTAAATTGGATTATTTTGAGTTAGCGTATTTAATTCATGACCTGGTATAAATATCAAGTGTCACAGAACAATGTTGGCTAAGTGGATTGCGCACAGCAGTTGTTTTAACTAGAATTCTGGAGCTTGAAGCAAAATTTATACATTCCCAGTTATCTCTCCTTTTTTTCTTGATAAGTCTTCCATGGTGAAATCTATATGAGAGGTGCCCCAAAGCATTTTCTGCACCACTCTACATTGTCACTGGGTGGAGAATCAATCTTTTGCATTTTTTTGAGTACTTCTGCTGGAAGGCTTTTATATGCAGTTCTGTATTCATTGTCAAAGGCCTCTGCAAAGAGGAAGACAATTTAAGAGTCAAGAAGCACAGAAATTATACTGCATGAATTGATTTCTCACCCTTTTATTCCCCCGTAATTCAAAACGCGAACATATTTTATGAGATAAGATACATCTCTTCATTCTTGATTTGCTTGTCCAAGACCCCTGTGGTGGCTAAAAGTGGTGGATTAAATATGAGAGGTCATGGTTTAAGTCTATTTTCTTCGGAAACTCACTGGCTGATTTCAGCAGCCAAACACAGGCCAACCTACTTTGTTGGGAAAAATTAACATTGAATCCTGTGGGGAACATGGCTATAAATTAAATAAAAATGAAAGTTACAATAACCCCCCTAACCCAGCCAGTTTTGTTTGTAATGCTATACATTTCTAATATTGGTTTGATTTTTTTTAAGCAAGAATATAAACTGACAGTTAGTACTCCCCTGTCTTCCAGGATAAAATAATTTTTGGAAAATTGAAGGCTTAGCCCATGGATTAGTGAAACATGCTGAAGATTTCCTATCAGAGATAAGTCATGCTATAATATATTGTATTAATTTTCTTACCAATATCAATATTCTCTCTTCCAAGGGACACCAGGGACAGGAAAAGGATTTCTCTGTAAAAACTCCTGAAAAAAATGCATAGACATTGAAGACAAGTTCAACTCCTCCTTCCAAGGCTAGCCTATAGAAGGAATCTATGTTAAGTTTCAGGTGAATTTCATTAATCAGATAGTCTAGCTCTAGTCTTTTTTCAGTAAGAATATTAACATCAATGGAAACCTAATTTTAAACTTAGCATGCAAAAATCCTCTGAGCTGTGTGAAGAAATGCTATAAAAGTATGCTCTAAAAGTATCCAGATATTACTGTAAGTATCAGTTTGAACTGTTCTTCCTTATTTACTGGCATAATTTTTTAATGTCTATAATTGATTCCTTTGTTTCCAGTTGTAGATTTAGAGCATAAACTTTACAATCACTATACACTAATAGTTACATATTCCAGGAGGGTAGGACAAAGGGGGAAAAAAGCATTTAAAGCTAATTCCACACAAAATTAGATTTTCAAGTAATAAAATTGACCTTTTTGTTTCTCATGACTGCTTCATGCACAAAAACATGTGCATATACACATAAATATTTCTCTTTCCTTCCAATGATTACGAATGAGGAAAAAAACCAAGATTGAAATGGAATATACTGAGAACACATGAGGCAAGAGAAAAGGTATTGTACAGGTGTTCTGAAAAGGGTTAAAGCAAGAGGCCAGCAGGCCATTCCCAGCATAAATAACTGTTCAAGGCATCTTGATTATGGATGCTACAGTTATATGCACCTCCACGAATTTTACCTCTTTTCAATAGCAGTTCTTTTCAAAAGTGTTATACACCACTTTTCACCTATTATAGGTTATTTGGGGAAAGACCTGCTTCAAATAAATGCTAACTTGCTATTATTGTTGTGGCCTGTCGGCCACCGGCCCCTCCAGCAGCCAAATGAGGAGGAGGAGGAGGTGGCGTGGGAGTCAGGGTCAGCATCAGGGCAACCTGGGAGCTCCAAAGGGGAAGAGGGAATGGAGCTGGCAGAGTGAGAGAGAGAGACACAGATAGAGTCTGGGACATTTGCCAGCCCTTATGGAGAGTCAATAGCCCCCAGGTCTGGAGGTGGTTGATGAAGAAGAAGATGAACAGCTGGGTCGAGAGCCTGACGTGCACGACTGCACAAAAGGCAGAGAAGGGGAGAGCAGTGGAAAACCGTGGGCTGATCCTGGGGAAGGAAGAGCCACTGCTACTAATGCCCCACCCTAGCTCGGGATAAAAGAGGGAGCAGAGACAATAGGTGTGGCAGACAACTATTAATCTTCCACCCAGCTGGGCTTGTTAGCCTGTGAGAAATTTTCTTTGCCGGAGCTGCCAGCATTTCTAATAAAGGAATCTTTTGAAAATTTCATCAGAGGGTTTGTCGTGTTTGGGGAGCTGGGTCAGAACAATTATCCCATATCAAGGAAAGCATCTACATACCACCTAATGTGGCAAAAAATGGACCCCAATGGACAACTGAATGCTAAACGTACTCCTAGGGATGCATGGAACTTTTCAAAGAGTTAGCGTTCATATCCAAGCGGTGATACCCTTTACCTTTGCCGTTTCTCATCCCGCTTAACTCTCTGCACAAGGAGATTAATAGGTTTAACCACATCATTGTGCTGAATGTTCAGTTTGATGTTTTCGACTAAAGTGCTTATTGCTTGTTGCTCTTCAGAATTGACCGAGGGCTTCTTTTCTGCAGAATCTAGAAGAAGGGAAAAATAGAAGGTTAAAAAAAAAGTCATGCAACCCAAGAAAATGTGACACAACAAAAGACATGAAGAAAGATAAAAGATAGAAGTGGAAGAATTGAGAGATCCAAGATGAAGGACAGAATATGAAATGGGCAAGGAGGGAAAAGAGGAAAGGGAAAAACTAAACACAGTTTTAGTAATTGGAAGAGTTTGACATTTAGTACTCGATATCCAGAACTAGACAGATTATGTATGATAATAGCTGAAGACCTATGCAGCATAAGCGTATTATTTATTTATATGGAAGACTTTCTGTGGAGAACTAAGTTCTTATGGCAACAAAATCCTATTGCGTTTATTAAAGTGGAAGCTGTTGTGACTGTACTGGCCAAATTCTGATTGGGATACTTGTGATTCTTTTCCCTGATACTTCATCTCAATTCTGGAAAAATGTACATTTTTTTTTCTTTGAAAAGTTAAATGTTGAGCTACGCACTGTGGACATCATATCTGAAAAGTCTTTAACTTTGCAGAACTGAAAATGTTTTCCGCTCATGAAAAAAACTTTGTCCACCTATTAATTTATAAGTGTTTTCTTAGGACAAAATTAAACCTAGACTTTTGGAATAAATTATCTCTGAGGGAGATGGGCAGTTAATAAACAAACAAAAAAAGAAACAAAATAAATGAATAAATAGATGGTTTTTGACATTTGGAAAAGTTGGTCTCAGATATGCATAAGTAAATGATTATTTCAGAATTTCTCACAACAGCAAAGATTTTTGTCTGGATAAAATTCTCACAAACATTTTACTCACTGTGATTTCTCCAAGATACATATAGTGGGTCCCCGGATTCTTGGTGAAGATTGATGTTGTCCCACAGTAGCTGTATGTACACTAGCTTGCTGTCTTGAGACAAGTTGGTCAGAGGAAGCTAGAATGGAAGAAGCATACTCTTATCGGTTTACTACAGATTGAGAATCCTGCCAACGCTTAGCAACGCCAAATACACAATCCTAATTTCATTATTTTTTTCACAAAAAGGGAACAGATGCCTGAAACAGTTCATATCTTCCAATTTAAATCAAGCCAAATTCAAGAACAGGAAAAGATTTCTTATCAATCTACTGCAAATGAAGGACTCTTATAAAGCAGGAAAAGCTTTTGCTTAGACATACTTTCATAGAAAACAGTGTCACAGAATAAGAACCTACCTCCTATATAACTGTACTTTTAACCTTAAATGTTAAATAACTAGTTAAGGCTGCTTTAATGCATTTTGCTTTTGCTTTGTTCTTATCAGTTTTTATTATTTTTATAAATAACTGAGGCAGCAAAAATTTATTTCTTTATATATTAGGTTTTTATGTTAGTTTTATTACTTTATAAGCAACTTTATAAGCAAATACATCTAATGCTGCTTCCTCCTGCTATTTTCCCACAACAATCCTGGGAGGTAAGTTAAGCTGAGAGAGACAGTGACTGGCCCAATGTCACACAGCTGGCTTTCATGCCTGAGGTGAGAGTAGAGCTCCCAGTCTCCTGTTTGCCTCAACCACTAAAACAAACAGGCTCATCCAGTGACAGCATGATCAATCCATATCTTCTAAACTTACTCTGAAGCAAATCTCAAAAGGATTAAGGTGTTATCTCAATATTACTGTTCTCTCTCACTTTGAGTCTTAATGTGAGCATTTACAAGTTTGAGAATTCCAGCCCAGAGTTCATTAATTTTCAGTAAACAAGAAGAAAATGTAAAGATCCCTCCTGCTTTATTCCCCTCTCCCCTGAAACCAATGGGACAAATCTTAATTTTGACCTTTCCATCAATATTTTGAATGGAAAAAGAACAGAATGAACCCTTTGTTCTGGACAATCCACTTCTGTAAACATAGAAACCTCTCCCACAACCCTCGGACTGGATTGCCCTAATGTAGCATTTCACAATCTCAGCTTAAGTTAAAAATGTATAGTATGCTGGCTGGGGAATTCTGGGAGTTGTCCGCACATCTTAAATTTGCTAAAGTTGAGAAACACTGCTCTAGGGTTATGAAGTAGTCATTCTTTTTTCAAGGTCATTTCATTTCAATCAGTGGCATCTGTTAAAATTCATCCCATCGACATATTTGACTTTGAAGTACAAGTGCTTCTCCAGATATATTCATTCAATACTGTCAGTAGAAGTGGTCATTTCCAGAATGAACAAAGAGGAAAAGTAATCAGTTTTTAGTTGTTTCTCTTACAAAGAACTATGGCTTTCCTCCAAATATTAAGGGTCTGCATTTGCTTGTGGTGCCAAAGTGTCGCTTACCTGCGTTCCATCATTGCAGTGTTCAGATGTTAGAATGAGACCGGGCAAGTTACTTGGGAGGTCCAGGCGTCGGAAATACCAGACCAAATTCCAAAAAATAATGGGATGCTGATTGATGAATGTTGATGTGTGAATTACTTGTTCTCCTTCATTCTCCAACAAAGATTCAAGCTCCTTCCGGAGAACCAATGGGCTCAAATAGGGAACGGATACAGGCGAAGGATTTGTCCTTTTCGCTAAGGGATCCTAAAAAAACAAACCCATCAATGATCATTAGTGAGCAAACAATGCACTTATCTCAGCTTCTCTCCCTAATAAAAAAAATCTCAATAAATCTTTGAGCAGCATTAACAGGAATGCCATACATGCAATATTGTAAACATACAAATATCACTATCTTATCCGGTGAATTACAATACAGAAACCATTTGAGAGAAAAAGAGAGCTCTGTTTTCTAAAACAAATCATATACAAAATCTATGGAAGCTGAATTACAATTGAGGCAGAATAAACAATAGGAAAAAGGAAGTCTCTCTTGATATCTAGTTCCTGTACATATTACCAGGAAAAGCTCGGTTACCTACCACTGTCTCTTGTAAACTATTAGGGAGGCTAACTGTTGAAATTCCATGAGATGGTCTTTGCAGGAGATCAATATTTTGCAGTGGGCCACCAACACTGTGACTCCGAGTCAGAGAAGTCCCGCGTTTTGATGAATTATTTGTAACAGGAGGCTTTATGCGTTTGAGATTTTTGTCTTCTTCCTCTGCTGTATTGATGCTGAAACACAATACAAACACTCATTAAAGCTAGCAAAACTGCAACAAAATATTTCAATGAGCTTCTGGTTCAGTAGTCCAGCTGAACAAACCATGCCTTCTTCCAAGCATTTCTTACTCCGAAATATGCTCAGGGAGGTTAGGGGTATGTGGTGCAGCATTCTGTAAGGGCTTTCCTCCCCTTCCAAAAATGTTATATTTTTACGAATCTAATTGTACTGATTCCTTGCAAGTTTCTTAGTACTATTTTGACTGCAATACTGTCAGCACTCACAAGCAGAATCTACCATTCACAAAAATGCCTTCTTTACTGTATCTATGATGCACAAAGTGCTTAAAAAATTGTGGCTTCAGTAATCCAGTTAAGAGCATTATTACATATTTATATGATGTGATGAATGAATCAGATGAACGCTTCATCCTTCCCATACCAACACTTTCCTGGGTCTCGGAATTTCATTTCCAAATAAGGCCTTTTCTACAAAATGGGGGACGTGATGCCAGTCCAGCATCTTATATTTGAAAGAAATCTGATTTTTACGTGAACCATTACATTTCTCCCAAGCAAGACAGTCCTATTTAATTCCTGTCTGTACCTTTGTGTTGCTGGGCTGCTATTTTCTTCATTGATGGTCTGGTTGGCACTTGAAGGTTCTAAAAAACTGATTAGATCTGTGGTAGGGATGGAGGCAGATTTCGGTTCCAGAGAATCCGTGGTTAATGGAATGTTATTGCTGTGTAAACTATCACCAGAGGTACTTGGTTTCAAAAGCAAACTGGTAAGGAAAGAAACAGGCAGAAAGTTATACAATTACAAAAAAAGAAAGAACTGTAATAAACATAATTTTGTCCTTTGTAATACATGTCCCTTGACTTAAGACCACAATTGAGCCTAACATTTATGTTGTTAAGCGAGACATTTGTTACATGATCACATGACCACAGGATATTGCAAGTTGTCAAGGATCTGAATTTTGATCCCGTTACCATGGGGATGCTGCAACTTTTGTAAGTGTGAAAAATGGTCACAAGTCACTTTTTTCAGTACTACTGTAACTTTGAACAGTCACTAAATGAACTGTTGTAAATTGAAGACTACCTGTACTTCTGGTTATTCCAAATTTATCATGAATATGATTGTTTTTAATTTCTACATTAAGACTAGAGGACTCAATCTGCATTCCCACTCTGGTTAAAAATGAAATTTATAGACCAATTTGTCAATAGAGATCATAACACATAAACACACATTAAGCAGAAGAGAAAAACAAAACTAAAACTGCTTCCCCATATAAATAGAAACTTATCCATATCCAGTATGTGATACAATTTAACGGCATACCAAATGTTTGTTTGGATGACTACCAAGTTTGTTATCATCTGCAAAGGATGAATTATGAAGGTATCTCAAAACTATTTAGTGGCTACCAATGTCTACCAACCTTGCAAGGCCACGTAAGTCTTTAAATTCCACATTAAGGAGAGGTAAAAAGGCATTTTTGCAAAATGGACATGTAGAATTCAAATTAGAATCATCTGCAGTCCATCCTGCCATAATTTCTTCATCATAAACCAAGGCACCACAGGTTCGACACTGAGAGCAGCTGGACATTAAGACCTATTTAAAAAAAAATGTTTTCTTTAAAGACATGAAAACAAACAGATATCAAAACTCCAAGTTGTTTTGTTCATGAAGAACACAAAAAAATCCATATTTAACTGACCAGGAGCATGTCTAGCTTAGTGCAGTATTTCCACAATTTCAAATATTTTTCTACTTCATACTTCAACAGGCAATTAATTTTTTTCAATCTGCATATTATACATATTTGACTCAATCTTTCTCAGCTCTCGGCACCAGAAATATGTAACACTGCAACTCCCATCAACTCACACTAGGACTGAAAATGAATTTCAGCCCAAAGTGCCTGGAAGGCACCTGCCAAAGCAAAACTGACATGTTAAATTGGTGTATGTATTAACAGTAAATACAGACAGTGTATGTGGATCAGTGGATTGAATGCAAATGAAAAGGCACAGATACTTTTAAAAATCATTGCAGTAATAATTTGTTTCAAAAACAGTATTCTCCAAAGGAAAGAGAAATGTTTTAAGGTTTATTATTTTTTTAAATGTTCGGAAAGAAAATTAATTTTGCATAAAATATAGCAATATCTTTACTCAAGATTATATATTTTACCTCCATTGCACAGTTTTGGAAGATACTGGATAGACTGGTATTGTACGAAGAGCCATGTTCAGATTTATCAGAATCCAAACCTTTCATACCTCGTGAAAATTGATTTTCCCCTGTGTAAAGTAATGTGGAACAATTTAAAAATTATTAAATTACACACAACTCTTACTATCTCATTAGGCAATAAATTCCCATACGATTCTGAGAAGTTGCTTTTTAACAACCAAACCTAAATAATTGTTGGGGGGGGGGGGATGCTATATTCTCTCAGAGATATGGGTTCATAATTGTTTTCCCATCACATGAAACCAAATTTTTTAAAGTATTGATGCCACTTCAAATTGGACAAATTTTTGCCCATTTCATTTCATATCTCTGTGCTATACTTTTCCACTCATCATCAAGCCAGAATTTAGATGGGAAATTGCTGTTAGGCTTATTTTGGAGAGTTTTAGAAAGTATGAATACTTCTATATGAAGGACTACCAAGTAACACATGCTACTTTTTAAAATTGAGTATCCACTGAATAAAAAAAGCAACCCTGATGTAACGTATCCATTGGCAATCCTTAGTGCTTAGCCCTTTAGTAGAACTTTCATCCTGTCCGTTTTGAAAATTAAAGAACATTTTTTTATGCAATTAGTTGTTGGGGGACAAAGAAAAGGAAAAGTTCTATTTACTCAGTATCAAATAAGCTTCTTTCAATATATTTTTCTCCCAGACCATGTTTCCCAAATGCAGACTGTCATAAACAGTTAATAGAAGAAATTTCAGGTATTTCCAGGCAACAGTTTTAAAACATTGAGCAAACCACTCTACTTGTAAGGGAAAAAACACAGCCAGCCATCTGCTGGGGATGTACTAAGCTGGATTTCTGCATGGAGAAGGATAGACCTGATGAACAATTCAAAGTTTATGGTACCTGTAGGATAGTGTGGTTTCCCTAAGTCTCCACTGCTGTTGCTGCTTCCAAGACTTGTGGTGCTCTGTGCAAGTTCACTGGTAGCCAGTCCTGGGATTCCTATTTTTGGTGACTGACAGACACCTAATATATGATCTTCAAAGCCAGCAGGAAAGGTAAAATCAGGACGGCTGGTTTCCTCCTTTTATTAAAAGGTAAAAGACAAATTCAGAATCTTACACTAATGTAAAATGTTCACTATTTAGTTATTATTATTGAAAATGCAAGTGCCAAGGCCCTGAAGTGTGTGTGATTTGCCTTCTTGTTTAATGTGTTTGCAACAAATCTCTCAAGAGACAAAGAATAACTGGTTGAAAAAATTTCTGAAATGGATTAAGAGGGAAATTAAAGCCTGAGAAAAGAAATCAGTAAAGATATCTTTGGTAGGTAAGGAACAGAATAATACCTAATGCTTTTCAGGCCACTGAGATTGGGTGATTTCACAGTGTATATAGGAGATTTAAAAAAACTCCCCCCCAAAACAAGTATATTATTTACAATGAATATTTTGCAGAAATACTATTATCTTTAAGTGCTACAAATATGATAAAAGAGACAGTGAAGTACCTCAAACAGATATTTATGATTAGTCTTCCTTTTTTGCATGCAATATTATCTTAAATTTATTGTGGTTTTCCTTTTTATTAATAATAAAAAAATCCACAAGACCTCATATGAGAAAGCAGATTATATGAATTTTAGTCATTTTATTGTTCAAAAGTAAAGGTTAGTGAATGCTATTGCAAATATGGTTATCATTTTGCCGCTGCCATAACACATGGAATGCAATTTAAAGAGAAATCCTGCTTTTCAAATTCCTCACATTCTCAAAATAAAATTAACCTAGGAAATTGCTGGCAAATGAAGAGAAAATTCAAAGGCAGCATGAAAGCCTCAATGGGGCAGACACAGCCTATGAATTGCCTACTATCTGCATTAAGAAAACACAGATTACAACAGGAAATATAAGAACAATATAACCAATTTGTGTTCTGTGTTACAATATTATGGATGACATGGGTGAAATTCAACTATATTTATCTGATTAACAATCCTTTTCTGGAATGAATTATCCCTCCTTTTTGCAATCCAAATAAATGTGATCTAAAAGTTTGACCCAGACATTTGTGGCGCCTTCTAAAATAGTGTTAGAACAAAAGGGAAATAATTTATAGGAGTAACAATTAATGTAAGATCTCGGTGATCTCTGCCATATTAAGATAAAGTCTACTGTGGGAAGATTACTTGAGACAACTGAACTTACTACTTACATTGGTGGGTTAAAAACGAAGAGGGGGAAAAAAACGGCACAACATTTACCTCATCATCCGAATAACTGTATGCTGATGACACTGCTCCCCACATCTTGCTGGCGACATTAGCTGCTTGTTTCATGCCAGTTTTCAAGACCTCTATTTTAGGCCCAGATAGTATGTGGTCTAGCTTCAGCCCTGTCAGATAGGGGACAACTGCACCCAACGAAGCCTGAGGAGAACGACCCAGCCCTGTTAAAGTTATCGTCCGTTCTTTTTGGGTGCGCGAAAGAGTCAGTTGCTTTGGCCTTCCAGTAAAGGTTTTGGACCTGGAGTCATATGGACTTTTATGATTAACATTTTGAATCTGTGGTGTTGTGGGCAGTGGGATGAAATCCAAGCTTGACCTTCTCTCTAAACTGGGCCCTGATGAACTAGGGGAATCCTCTTCCCGGTTGCTCTCTTTCCTGTGTAATTCCATGCTGGAAGATTTGCTGCCCAAGGGGCTTTTTAGATTCATGTAGCTTTCAATTTCCTCAGCCAGATTGCGTGCTACAACTGGTGACATGATCTTTTCTTCTGGCTCGGCGGGTTTGATGGCTTTTGTTTCCGTGGCCAGCAAAGATAACGGATCCAAACCCATTTGAACACCTTCCCTTTCAATTGGCTTGGCTACACCATAAAAACTACTCCTTTTGTTTGTTATCTCTTTGGGTTCTCCTTGCTCAGTTTTAGACTGAAGGGTATCAGGAGGTCTGGGGCTACTGCACTCCGATTCGACCGTGCTGTCACTGAGTCCGTTTTTCAATTGATCTCCAGGTTCTTTCACAACCGGTGAAGAGCTAGCCCCTGTTTCCCATGTATTTTCTTCTTCATGAGTTCTGGGACTGTCTGACCCACAGAAGAATTGTATGCCATTGGCATCATCAAAAGGATGTGATTTACTCATATGGGGTGGAGAGGTTTTGGCCCCCAATAGAGCGGCGGTGAGGATCTTTGCATCTGCTCCCATCATTATGGCAAGATCACTGGAGTTAGAGTCTAAGCTGTTCTTCTTCAGCAGCATGTCTGCTCTGCTTTCAGTACTGAAACTGCAAGTCCTTCCAGAAAAATGTTTTTGCCTTTTCTTCCCTTTTTCATTTGCTCTTCTGGGAGAAGTGTTACAATCAAACACTGAATCTTCAATAGGATCCTGAACGATGAACAGTGGACTGCATGCAGTTCCTTAAACAAAAATATACAGGACCGTGTCTAAAATATTGGCTCATATAAAGCACTTTTTTTAAAAAATACATCTATTAGAAAAAACATGGAAAAGGCAACCAAAATCACCATATAGAAATGCTGTGCTACAGGTTTTAAAATATATGTTTAAATTGGTCAATTTAGTCTTCCACACTGAAAGAATTCTGGTGCCTGAGACTCATTTTAGGTGACTATTGAAAATTTGCTTCTTCTTTTAGGAATTTGCAAGGTAACAGATTATTAAAATTAACTCAAGTGTTATTTTTTTGTTTTGTTTTATGGGACTCTACTTTTATGGTTGTTTTGGAATTGTTTTTTCTGTTTCTGTTTTTGAACACCAGGAGGTGTTTTGGAGGTAGCATGTTATCAAAACAAAAGTGTTAATTTGTAAGGAAAAACAGTTGCATGGAGTCCTGCTTGAGACTGGACAAAAACTTTTCTTTAAAATAAATGGCCAGCTGAAATCAAGATTGTCAAAATAAATCTAATATAACATGTTAATTGGCTTTAAGAGAAATATTTAATGCTAAAATATTTATAGTACATTTCAAAATAATATATCACTGACATAGAACTTGTACTGTCTTTTAAATGGGTAGGGATTCTATATTTGTATATTTTAAGCAACCTTTCTGTGTCCCTTAAACATTTTAAAATAGCAATTTTTGGAATACATAGTTATATATTTATCAAGAATCATTCTCCCAATTACCACAATTATATAATTGCTGTTGTAGATCTATAAGTCTGCCATGAGGGCACATAAAAAAAGATTCACAGAAGTAAATCCTTACTCCCTGACATAAAAGATTTGCTGGGTTTTAGTCAACCGGTCATGTTTTTCTTTTTTACACTCACTCTCTAAGGGGAATGGTAGCAAAATATGTGGAAAAGAGGACAAGACTCTGCCTGTCTACCCGCTGGCAGGATAATTCTCTGAAAACTGAACAGAATGAAAGGAAATTTGAACTGAACAGAATGAAAGGAAACCCAGACAACAGAATGTGGCTAGAAGTTACAGAGAAAAAAATTCCACGGAAAAATCCCCGCAATGTATCTATCCTTCAGGGAGAAGCACCTGAGTAATGGTTTGGAATATTACCAAGTCCTCTCTGTCACATGTCCCAAAGTGAAAGTTATGCAGCCTACTCTGCTTTTCAGGTCATAAATACTCAGAAATGTACACATGGGTATGTCAAAAGCAGAACAAAACCAGAAACAGACAAAAGGGCCCTGCTGTAATTAGACTATTTCAATACATATTGAGCCAATAATATGATCTAATCAGAGAAAAATCATGCTTTGTTTCTCTATGTATATACAGTATGTGAACACACAAAGGAGAAAATGATTACATACATACATACATACATACATACATACATACATACATACATACATACATACTACATATCTGAGTGTCTGTGTGTGTGTGTACAGACAGACAGACAGACAGACACACACACACAGACAAACAAAACATGCCTCTTCTCTGATTAGACCCTTACAGGTACACAACCAATACTTAATCACACACCCTGAGGAGAACATGCACGTGCACATAGATGCTACACATAACTTCATTACACAAAAGAAAATAGAAACATTTTGTATAACTCATCATTTCAGGCAAAAACCAAACATGTCCTGTCCTTATGAAACTGACAGTGATCATTCCTGATTTTTTTTAAAGTGTTATTTTTATAAATCTTAGTCATGAAGTCAGCCAAAAAGATGGTCATGAAGTAAATCATGAAGCCAACCAACAAGTGGAAGAAAGAAAGATTATTTCCAAATATTAATTATTGAAATCATTTCCTATCCTGGTAATTTTGTGGCCGCACCTTGGAAATAGTATGGATATAGTTTGCCATTCCCTTCTTCCAAAATGTTTTTCAACCTTACAAGCTAATCTACTAATCTCCCAGACCAAGGTTGATCTTTATTACGCTTCACACTTTAAACATGATTAACCGGATGCTGTTATTGCTAACCTCCATTGGGGGGAATGGCACACAGACTGCTGGTTTCCTTCACCAGAACCTTTTTTTTTTTTTTAATTAATATTAAGAATTAGCAAGGCACATTTGAAGAACTTAAATCAAGTTTAATTTGGCACCGATCTGTACTGAATTAGTAAGAAAGACAGATAAACATTTTAAATTAGAGGTTTTAACACATATGTATCAAATGAGCCTCATTCAATTTTTATAAAGTTTACTGGGAATCATATATCCCTTGCAATTTAAACTTAAGATAAATATATATATAAGGAATGATATTACATTTAGTAAGAGAAAAATCATCATCATCCTTGCCATCTATTAAATGAGTACCACAGTCCTTAGATTAGGTATTTTCCATTATTTGGCTTCTAATCAAGATCCTAAAAATCATGGAAGTATCACTGTACTATGTAGGATAGTGGTTCTCAACCTTTTCTTCATCACTTACCCCTTTTAAATACTTTTTGTGGCCACAGACTACCAAGGCTTAACTCAAGATTTAAATCAGAATCATTACTTCAAGCCTTCACAGACCCCCTGTGAATGCATCGCGGTTCCCCCCTCAGGGGTCAATGGACCATAGGTTGAGAACCACTGATATAGGAAGTTCCAAGCAAGGTGGTAGTTAATTATTATTATTTAATGTTTTTCACATAATAAATTCATTCTCTTGGACAAGTCAAGCACAGCATAAATGATTTCTAATTTTATTTCTAATAAGCCAAATATATTGATTAGCTTACCACCACTGCTTTTCCTGCCAGGAAGAACAAACATACCAGAGGGAACCTTCACAATACTGCTTGAGGAATGCAAAGGCACTTCCACAGGGGTTTGCGATTCTATATTAGAGTGCTGTTTCTCTGCAGATTCATTGGTGCCAGAAAAATCTTCAGAAGATGGGGAAAAGAGAAAGAGAATGAGTTGACTTCCATGCTAGTGAAAGTTGAGAGAAAAATGAATACCATATCTAATAGCAAGTACCTAACTAACTTTCCCAGAACTTCCAGTCAGCATGTATTTTCCAGTAAATCTGGGGTCTAAATCGTGTTCCAAAAAATACAACCAAGACAATCCTTTTACAGCACATTTATTTGTATATGCAGCTTTACCCCTCCAATCAATAAAATGGCCATCCATGTTATAACAACGTATTTATCTTGAATAGGGGGGGAAATTGTAGTAGAGATAGAATTTCTTAAATGGTAGGATTAGTAGATTATCCCCAAAAGTACTTTAAAAAAACCCCAGATTTTATCTGTATTTTTAAAACCTTTTGTTCAGTTGTTTTCAGTTGTAGTCTCCATCTATGAAATATTTTCTAAAGAAATGTTCACCTGACTTGTGTTCTGCTTAGTTTCACTTTGAATATTCTTTTTATTTTCTAAGCAATTTAAGAAGCATGTGTTTATTTTAAAACTGGAAAGTTTATGCTAAATTTATTGCTAGTATTAATTCTGGCTGATTTTTACCATGCTTATCATGCTTTTTTATTGTTCTTATACTGCTTTCCTTGTTTTGTTTTGTTTTACTTATTTAATGTCTTTCAACTCACTGCATACCACCCAGCCAATCCTTCTTTTGAGTGATGTACAAGCACAATCAACCAAGACAATCCTCTTGAAAAGTGACATTCCAGAATGTAAATTCAGCCACTAGATCCCAATTAAACTTAAAATCATGGAAACAGTAAGTTGGAAAGCACCATTTAAGCAATCAAGGCCAATTCCTGCTTAGTGCAGGAATCCAAATTCAAATCCAAGCCATCCACATAGAGATGGCTGTCCAGCCTCAGCTTAAAACACATCTAATAAAGATTAGCCCCAATCATCTTGGTTGCTCTTCTCTGAATCTTTTCCACTCTGAATCCTTAAAATATAATGCCAGAACTAAACAGAAGAGTGAAAATGGAAATATTTCTTCCCAAGATTTAGAAACTATATTATGTGGATACAACTTATAATTACAGCTTCCCTCTTCATACAGGTAGTTCTTGGCTTACAGTTGAGGCCAAAATTTCTGTTACTGAGCAAGACAGATGCTAAGTGAGTTTTGCCCCATTTTATGACCCTTCTTGACAGAATTGTTAAGTGAATCGTTGCAGTTGTTAAATTAGTAAGACAGTTGTTAAGTGAATCTGGCCTCTCCGTTGACTTTGCTTTTCAGAAAGTCACAAAAGTTGATTACATGACCCACAGGGACACTGCAACCATCATACCGTAGATATGAGCCAGTTGCCAAGCAGCTAAATTCTGATCACATGACCATGGGCATGCTGCAATGTTCATAAGTGTGAAAAACAATCATAAGTCATTTTCTTTTCAGTGAAGTTGTAACTTCAAACGGTCACTAAACAAATGTAAATTGAGGACTACCTGTGTTGATTTAGTAATCAACTACTCGATCTTTTGTACAAGTGCTGTTATCAAGCCAGATAAAACCAATTCTAGAAAGCCTGTTTTAAAAGAAAAAAAATCTCCCATCCATTTAACGCACCTCCAATTAAGTTTTCAGCTTTTGCAGCAAGATCTTTTTCTATAAGCACATCTGTTGAATGAAGGTGGTCTCCATCATCCTTTATAAGTTCATCTTTGGAACCGTAGCCTTGATCTGACTGGCCTCCTGTGGGGAGGGGGGGAAGGGGAGGAAAGGAGAAACAAGACTTGTCCATTTGCTTTTCTCTCTCTGCCCTCAGAACATAACATTTTAATTACGAGAAATGTGTGTTGCAAAGTTTTATTTTAAACCAAATTTATTAATAAAAGCATATCTGAAATCCAGTGAAGAAAGAACAGCAGCAGAAGGTGCAGTAAAAGGCATGTTTGAGATCTAACTTGCAGAGTGTATTATTATAGTTGAACATTAACAGAAGGTGATGCGGGTAACCCACAACAGGGAAATAAGAATCACATTCGTTTCCATTCAGTTCATCAGTTACAATCAAATCACTCTCAGGGTTGATACTCAGATATTTATATTTTTTTTAAAAAGTCTTCAGCATAAAATCAAAACATTGCAATAGTTAACAGTAACTCATGAATAAAACAACTCAAAACAAAAAACAGAAATGGCTCAATATAACTAGGGTGCTCTGGAACAGTTCAAGGAGGTCACCAGCCTCATTTCCACAGGGAGGCAGTTCTACAGAACCAGCACTACTAATGCGAAGCCTCAGATCTCTTTATCTCCTCTAAGTGGGGCACTAATAGGCAATTTCTCCCTATATGACCAAATAAGCCAGGCTCACCCTGGTTGGGGCATGTGGTGCTATAGGTACCCAGGTGCCAAAGCAAAAACAGCTTTATAACTCCTTATAAATCAGCCCTTCCAATGGCACATATCAAGGGACCTTATTAATCCCTTTGCCCCTCTTCCCTCTGAGGTAAAATGATTTCACTGCTGTTGTTTACTTGTTTATATGCGTATCTAAATTAATATTCTCCCTGTATTAATCGCGTCTGAGCTCTACTAATCTGGTATAAGCCCTGCTCTCCTTGGCTACAGAACTTAGCTGTGCTAGTGCTACCTTTATAACCTCACGAGCAGTCCTTTTCTTATTCTAATACAGCCTTTCCCAACCAAGTGGCTTCTAGATTAAGTATGACTATAACTCCCATAATTCATCAATAATTCCAACAAATTCAGAGGTTTTAAAAAAACAAATGCTGAAATTTGAGGCTGAAATTCTTATATAATTCGTTTGAAAAACACTGATTTTATATCCTAAAAATCTGACAACTTTAAGGTGTGGAACTTCAATTCTCAGAATTCTCCAGCTGGTATGCAAAGTTGCCATGTTTGAGGGGGAAAAAATACTGTCCTAAATGGTGACACACTGTCTCTACACTCCTCTAGTAACATGGCCAGAGGTAAAAAGGCTTGCAACTTGAACAACAGTCAAATCCCAGACTGAAGAAACACAGCATCTTTCTATTTAAATAATAAATGGAAGGAGCAAAATGCCATCAATGAATGAAATCTGAGATATATGCTATGTGTGGGTGGGTGTTTCCAGAGCAACTTACTATTATTTAAAATAGCAAGTTGAAAAGTCACCCAGTTTCTTTTAATATTGATTTACATTAATTCACGGGAAAATTACCTGCAGGGTTTAACATTCAACAGCAGAATTTAATGCACATCTGCCTCCAAGGATTCGCACCACACAAGTCTGCACCCCACACCATGACAGCCAAGGACAAATGCAGCACCAAGAGACAGCACAGAGCAAGAAGCAGAGCAACAAGGATCAGAGAGAAGGAATATTTAGTTATCTACGACTAGACAAATACAAGAAGCCATCTACGCAAAACAGAGACAGACTAAAATTGTTTTAAAAAGAAGGAAGTCAAGAAAGTTTAGTAGAGAAAACTGAGGAACAGGACAACATTTAGATTTACATTTAAGAGCAGGATTTTTTAAAAATATGATCTTTATTTCATTTAAAATATGTAACTTATAGCAAAATGAAAGTCGGGAAACTCTTTTCTGAAAGATTCAGCCATCTGCACTTAAAATCCTTTACAAACTTATCTTTAATCAACAAATGTGGGCTAAATATAGAATTTCCCCCACCTAATGCAAATTACTGTGAAATTTTCTGAAACACAGTATTCCATGTTTAGCATAAAGTGATCCCAGTGTACTCCTTTTGCCCTCATACAAATTTTACCCAAGTTCAATTAAATAAATATTTGGGATACAGCACGATCCCCAGGAAGATATACATTAGAGATAAAAAGAACCAGTTGCAGTACTCTTATCAGTGCCTCCTTCACTCAAAATATATCTTCCTGGGATCAGGGTTCAGCGCACTGTAAGTTCTCACATATAGTTCACCTGTGCTGAAAGGCCAAAAAAAGGTTTATTAAACACAAAAGTTCAAGTTAGTATAAAACCACAATTCTTTATGTTGAACTAATACGATCATTTTCCACCTTGTCTCTTCCTCTTCCCGCTGATTAGCTATTTTTCTCTTACAAGAGAAAGAGAGAAAAACAGAGAGAAAAAGCGATCTCCAACAGCTGCACAACCTAAGCGTGTACATCCAACTTGTGATCTATACATGCAATCTGCTTCCTGGTGAAGCAATCTGGACCACAGTTTGGATTCTGTTATTCGTGGGATTGGCAGGGAGCAGAAAACATTTACCTTTTCCTCTTTCTATCACACACAATCTTTGTAACAGAAACAATATTTAATGCCAGCAGCATATTAGAAAGACATTGCATAGTTAGTGAACCCCAACAGATCTAATACCTGTGCTAGAGTGATTATCAATGGAATCAAGCCTGACTAAGTCTCTGACGAAGAGAGTGTGCTCCCCACTGTTAGCATCATTAGAACTATCCACACTACCATGGCTCACCGTGTCCCCATCACTTCCACCTGGGATCTTCCGTGAAGCTGAGGACAGGAACAATAATGTATTAGTTTAAAAAAACAAAACAAACAGCAGCAATATGGTAACCCACAACATTGCTGAAGGATTGACTCAAGACCTTTTTTGGCAAATGAAGACCAATCCACCCCTACTCAATGTGCTTATCAGGGGCTATTTTGGGGAATCCAAAGCCCAAATCTTCACATCCCCTTCCTTTCAGTGATATCTTAAAGCTCCTGCTTCATGGTACAGCTACTTAAGACATAAACGCTTACGAAAACAGCACATAACCCCACACTCATTGCAGTACTCTGTTTGATACTCTGTACTTGTATTTAATTGTGTCTGTTATATCACATGCAATCACATTACCCAGTAATAAGAGTTTATGACTAATCTGAAGGATTTATATTTGTTTATGGCAGTCAAGGATTGTGACATTACCTGGTATTGAAGCAACCTGTGAAGTCTGTGTAGACTTTTTGAGACATTGCCTTAATTGTGCCATACTGTGTACCACATTCCGCAATTTTGTCCAAAGAAATATACCACTGCGATTACTGCTAGGCCAGGGATTCTCCAAAACTGCCTGGAAGAGTGAAATTACTAAGAAAAATATTTCCAAAGCCATACTTTACATCTTTATAATCCATGCCCTGCAATCTCAGTCAGATAGAATTATATCATTGTTATGCAACAGTGATAAGGAAGTAAGTTATAAATCTTCCTTATATGGTATTTGCTAATTCTTTGCTTACCTTATTGTAGTAGCCATAAGTAATTGCATTTGGTTCTATGCCAGAATTTTTCATCTCAAAGAGAATCCGCACAGCCAGGACAGGATGGCCCCAAAGTCCACAGAGCAGCATTAAAACTCTATAACACACCTGATAAATAATGTAAAGAGTATAGATTTTATAGATAGTAAAGCATCAAGTGTAACTATTGTTACAATATAAATCTCTCTTGGTAGGTATCATCAATCAGCAGAGGAAAACTAGTTTAAAGCAGAGAGATATTCTGTCACTGAATTAGAAAGCTGCCCACATATTAAAATAATATCCCTAACTCATACCATACATAACTTCTGGTCCAATTCTCTCAGCTGCTACCAAACTCAATAAACCTATTGATACTGTAGGAAGGCAAAACTACCCATTTTTACCGCAAGACAATCGACAGAAAAGAAAACCACACAAACTGTTTAGCATTACAAAACAACAACAACATTGCAATCCTTTCTTAGATTAAGTGTTTAAAGGGGACTGTACTGCAATTAATTGGTATATTTTTGTGACATTTTAATTCAGGTAAAATAATGTGACTAGAAACTTGCTTAAGCACATCTAATTTATAATCATCTGTTTTTTTTAAAGAGCTCAAGAGGTCTGGGGGGAAAGAAATCCTTTTAATTTTATTTCCACAATCCTATGAGATAGGTTGGGCCAAGGGTAAGTAACCTTCCCATCCACCTGACTCAGAACTTTTTAGAACCTGGGTCTCCTTGATTTTAGTCCAATAATCTACTTGGTGTACCTGTACTACCTATGGAAAGGGTGTTTTCATAAATATTTTACATTATTTATGCATATGTATGTATGTATGTGTGTGTATGTATGTATGTATGTATATATGTGTGTGTGTGTGTGTGTGTGTGTGTGTGTGTGTACACACACACACATTATTTTTTTAAAAAAAACCAAGAACACCAAGTTACAAAATTCTCCCATACAACTATCTAAAGTTAAACACATCGTGCCTACTGAAATTTACATGAACATCTTCCAGATTAGGGTTAAGAAGAAGGCCAGCATGTCCAGGCAAAATGGGACTGAATTGTGACTTCTCTACTTTACCGCAACAGATGTGTGCATGCATGTGCAAATCTGAGGAATGTCCTACATGCTTGGACAAACTGGCAACTGAGGCACTGGGCTTCATCTCTCTTTGACTGCCAAGTTTATCTGAGTGTTCATAGATTAGCTCTTTGTTTTTGCAACCCTTCTCTAATTTGCTTGAAACTTCTTTCAAGGTTAAGGCCAAATTTGAAGGAAAAGTTCTTGGCACAAAAGTGAAGCTATCCAAACTTTGAAGATGCATTTGAGCTAAGGTGTTGATTCTCCATTGCAGTACAAGTAGAAATAGAAACAAGTTTCAGATTTTTTTTTAAATTTACAGAAGATTGAAAATGACAGAGCTGAAACCATTTCCTTTTTCTTAGTCATATATAATAATGGTGCCATGTTTAATCATTTCTTTTCCAAAATGTCACATTTGGACATTGGACTAGTTTACCTACTTATCTGTATTTTTAATAGATGAAATGCATGGTAAAATTTCATGCACAGTAAGCATTTGAATGTAAGATGATGTAATCTCAAGTAATTATAAAATTTCTTACTTTATAATGATCATAACCAGAAATTACAGGAAAGTTGGATATTAACAGTATAATGAAGCAGATGTTATTCTCTTAGTGGGATATCTACAATATGCTATAAATATCTCCAAATGAAAGAAAAAAAGAATAGAGAGGGAGCAGAAAATTGTTCTCTTCTTTCAGATCTAGCCTAGAAAAAATAACAATAGATATTTATGTTACAAATAATAAGACTTAATTCTATCAGTAACCCTGGGAATGCACAGAAACCGTCATGGGTCATCTGATATCAATTGCAGGTGGTTAACAAAATATTTTCTTACTGCATTAAAATGAGCTGTAGCTTGCCTGTTTTACAAACTATATCAACCTATCGTATTTAGAACTGACTGGAATTAAAAGTATATTACTGGAAATCCAAAGTTGCAGAACGTTGTCTTTTTGTGAAAAACAGTAGGCTAATATATATATATTTGCTCAAGAACCTTTCTTGATCCCAGTGTGAATGTGTAAGCAACTAGATAAAGGCTTAGTATGAACAAGTGTCTCCTTTTATCAACTATCCTTGAAGAAGTATCTTCTACATATTCATGCATGTGCATACACATAAAGACCACTCTTGGGAGACAGGCAGCAGCTGTTTTGAGTTTTCAAAAAGATGCTTCATACCTTTGCATCTCAGATCAAAGGGTGTTTGCAAAGCACCTGATTATACAATCTATACTGGACTAGAAGGCAGCAAATATAAATATTATTCCAAGACAAAGATATGCCTGCATCTTTTTATAGCACGGCAGACTTCATAACTTACTTCATCTAGTGGTTCCACATCTGTTTTTTTCATTTTAATAAGAACTTCATATGCTTGCTGCAGTGCTCTGACTTTGGGATGTGAAAGTCTAACATAGGCTGGGAGACAAATAAACCATAAGCTGTAACAATGACTGAAAAGGAATTTGGCCCACTGTGGGCAGTTTGCGTAGCATCTCTTGGCTAGTTTATGGGCTGCTTTTATTTCCTGCAAAAAAAAGAAAAGAAAAGAAGAAGAGTAAAAATAGACACATCTTAAAAGGAATTTAAGGAGTGTCAGATAACATGCTCTTTTAACAGCATGAAATGTGGAAAAGAAGAACGTGCATTTCTACTTATTATATCATCCCCCCTCCCCAAACTTATTTCAACTCTGAATGTATCTTAAAAATAAAAATAACCTGCTTGGTCCTCTTTGCCATAAGCGCTGGACTATTTGAAATGTTGCTTTTAGCTGGGTGCCTCTTCAAGGAAAGTTTGAGATCTTGTGGTCTGTCAAAGAGCTTAAGCTCTAACTTAGGGAAGGTCTTGTAGCTGGAAAAGAAAATCAAAATTGTATAACACTGTCTTCCATCCATAATAGGATAATAAAATGAATTTCAGGTCCACCAATTCTAAACAATAGTCCCTTGCAAATTGAGACGATGCTGAAAGGAGAGGATGCTTATTCCAAAATGAAAAGAACAAAAATGGATTATACCAGGGAACAGCTTTAAGCAATTTGATGCATTACTTCAAAAGGTTCAACTGCACAATATTGCCTTATGGAACTATTTTTCTTATGAAAGAATTTGAGGGAATCAATATTTTTAACGTATCAACATAATTTCTGAAATCATTCTGATACCCAAAGGACCCCCAATTTAATTATTATTTGGAACAGGTAACTAAGAAACAATGAGTAACTTCCATGCTAGAGTACATTGTCAAGGAAATTATTAAAAATAGCAGAATATGGTTTATAAAATGTTTCAAATTTGTACTAAATTTGAACCACTCCAATTCAAGAGGAAAATCTTTGTTCAGTGTTCTGAGTTTAAAAAAAAATGTTTTCAACTCAAAGCCGAGGTGTTTCAAACTGAAAGACTTCCAAAATACTAATCAAAAGCAAATTCTCAATGGAAAAAAGAACATTTCAAATTTTAAATTATTCAAAATTCCACATGTTTTGTGTACCCCTGCTGAGCATGATGGCTAAAAAATTATTCTCTAGATTCAATGTTTAGAAGAAATTAAAATTCAAAGTAACGGTAATTTTAGTAAGATTAACTTTTAGTATAATGGGCACTCTTGATAAAAGATCCTTGTCTGATCTTTTGGTCTCCAGAACCACATTTTCCAAAGATTCCTACCTACCATGACCACCTCCCCAAACCCATCTAAATTAGGAAAGGCTGGATGGAACTAAAAAGAAGTCTATCCAAATGCCATTAAGAGAATACCTATACTTTGGTAATCTTTCCTGTCCATCGTCTGGGGGTGGTTCTGGTGGCATTATAAATACTGTATGTTCACTCTTCTGAGATTCATCAAATTCAATTAACCGGATATCCTCTGCTGAGTCGACATCAACCTGCAAATACATCACACTTTAATATCACGATGCTATTTCAAAGCCTTAAGGATGCAACTGGAAGCACAGAGCGTGATGTAGAAAAAAAGGCAGAAGAAGCTATGACTATGTACACATCTTGCAGCTGTTTGCCACTAGCACTGCTAAAAGATCCACAAAACACTAATATAACAGCCATTCAATTTTCAAGTAGCAGATCTAGAAAAAAAGATATATTAAGATTCCCAAACATCTATTTGATCAATCACATCCTCCATTTCCATCTTATTACCATACATGCTTAATTATCAGCAAATTCTTGTCCCATGAGAAGTAAATAAATACCTTATCTCCTTTTTCTGATCCTTTCTCAGGAAAAAGCTAAAATAAATATTAGAAATAAATGCTTAATTTTTGTAAATAAAGCACAATGTTTTGCTATTATGTATAGCGTAAATTTTTAAATTTTCTTGCCTAATAGAAGCCCTGAACAAATCTAATGTGGATAACACTAGAACATTTCCAAGATAAAACACAACACGCAGTTATCTTAAAGAGTTAAAATGCTGCTCCCCAAAAATCGTCATGCACCAAATTTAAAGCGAAATGATATATTTACCCAATAAATATCTTTACCTTTTCTACACAGTCATCAAAAAATGCTAATCCTGTATCTTTGTCACTCACAAAACTGCATTCTTCAATGAAGCGGCTAAAAATCTGGGTCTTTGTTAAAGCTGTATAGAATTTTGTGTAGGCACGGTCTCTACTTTTTAAAAATCCTAGTACATAGAAAGGAAGAAAAGAAAATAGCCATACATTACAATTACAATTATTTCATTTTTCTGTTTATTCATCTCCTATAACACTGAGCAATATGGACACTCTGGGTCCACACCTATTTATCGACAAGACCCTACACAATGCTTTCAGTATATATCCTGCTCTTATGATATAACACCAAGAGCCAGTATTTTTAATAACATAAACATGATAGCCAGATGAGTCGGGTTTTTTCAAAAAAAAAGTTCCACTTCAGAGTTTTCATACACAACATCTCTTTAGTATCTGCATTGTATTATTGATAGTTTTTGAACTTGATCCACTTGAAAAATTTAGAGCTCTTAAAAGCTCTTTAGAGAATTAGGAGATCATGCATTTTTCTTCAGAACTCCAGCTGATGGAATCACTTTATGTGACTCAAGAGCAAATCTAATCCCACACCTTCTATAATATATAATTTAGCATTTTAGACAAGCAAAGACAATCCTTTAGCTTTAACATTTTATGCTCAATTTAACAAGACAGAACAGATGACAGAGAGGGAATTATCTGCCAGTGTTCACAGGTCCCGTCCCCCCCCCCAAACAATTCTCCAGTTGTGTCTGCCCATCACACAAAATTGGACTGTGGACGTATTTTGGATTCACTCTACCAAACAAGATCATCTAATGGCACTGAGGAGATGTGCCTTCTCTGTTGCACTGCCTGCCCTGAATGCCAGCAAAGCTCATACTCTATTCTATTCTAGTCTTTATTCTATTGCATACAAAGAAGAAACTGGCAAGCTGAGAAGTCTAGTATTTGTAGCATTTGAAGTTTGACCAGTATTTTATTTGAAAACCACCATTTATTTCTGCTGATCTCCCAATCTTACCTTGAAGGTCAAACAGGGAATCCACAGCAGTAGTTTTATTTGAAGGTGCTTGTGTGATTGGCTTAAGAAAAATTCGATACCCTTTTAAGATATAGGCCATAAAACGCAGGAAAGCTTCCTGAATCTCCATTTCGAACTGCGTCATCTTTTTCTGCCAGGAGAAATCTGCCTCTATCGGCTTCATCTCAACGGCAGAGCCTTCTTGGGTCTTTCTGTGAACTGTATTAGAGTGGAATAAGGCATACAAAATTAAGGAGACTTAAATACTTAATTAAATGAATGTAGTCAAATGAATGCTCACCACCAAAGAGACATTACAGAAGCAATGTTTGAAAAAGAATGAACTTGGAGAAGCCCAGGTGGTGCAGTGGTTAGAATACAGTATTACTAGCTAACTCTGCACACAGCCTAGAGTTCGATCCTGACCAGATCAAGGTTGACTCAGCCTTCCATCCTTTCAAGGTCAGTAAAATGAGGACCCAGACTGCTGGGGACAATATGCTGATATTGTAAACCAACCTGAAAATGCTGTAAAGTGCTATGGGATAGTATATAAGTCTATTGCTATTACTATTTCTATACTCTCAAAAGTATGCTTTGAAATCTTATGATTTCTGCTACTGTACTAGGTATTTCAACTTCATAAAGTCTGTGGTATATAACTCATTATATTCTACCTGTGGTCTGTAGAAATAACGGTGTTTAGTAAAACAGCATGGTTGAGTCATATTAAATCTTGTCACTGTTCTTCAAAAATTGAGCTTTTTATATTTATTAAATTTGTATTTTGCATTAACATAGAAAAAAATAGAAGAAAAACAAATAAAACAAAAACAAAAACAAGGAAAAGAAAAGAAAAATTGAAATCTTTATCAGCTGTATTAAAAATGACTTTACAGATATATAAAACTGGATGGGATTGAGCCAAAATTGTTATTTCATACTACCTGGCTTTCTCATTGACTTTGCCTGTGGGAAGCTGGCTTTGCTTATGGGAAGGTCACAGGGAAAGTCACAAATGATGATCATGTGATCACAGGTTGCTGCAACCATCAGTTTATTAAATCGGCAGTTTATTAAATTAGCAGGTTACTTAGTTAACCGGAATAAAATTCATACGCTTCCTATAATTTCTATGAACAATTATAAAAATGGGGTTTTTCTGGTGTTTGAATTGTTTTAACTATCTTGGAATAATTTTAAAAAAAAGAGTCTATGGGTGTCAACATTTTAAATTGCATATCTCTGCCTCTATCCATGTGTTCAAACAATATGTGGGAAAACAAACAGTTCAGCTGAATTTTTTTCTTTTCCAAAGATTAGTTCCTTTTAATCTCTTATTTGTTTTACCTAAGGCAAGTTGTGGGTGCAATTTCCTTAATGTTCCAAGAAGGCTTTTGCAAGGCTTCTTAGGGAGCAGCTTCCAGGTCATACTCTTCTTATCATCTGATCTATACAGCAGAAACAAAGGTACATATGTCAAAATGAGTAATATATAAAAAATGGAACACTCGGCTTTTATTGCTTGCTGATACTGAAACAAGAATAAGAACAGGCATTTACATTCTCCTGGTAATATTCCAAAACTCTTTTCATTGTTTTAATGCCAAATGACTTGAATCAACTTTGGGGTTTCTCTGGTAAGCATTAAGAGTCCTCTTAGTTAAATTTAGATTTCATTCCAAAACTACACCAACTTTTCTTTGAGTATTTTTATTTAGATACGTTATTTCAATGTACAGTATCTAAATAAAAGTTTATCTTGAGATATGATTGCATTTGCAGCATTATTTTGACAAAGAATTTTTGGCCTCCTATTTCCAAGCTTGAAATTGTATCTGGTAACACGCAATATTATATTTTTATCAAGTGTTTAGAGCAGGGGTCTTCAAACTTGACAGCTTTAAGACTTGTGGAAACTCCCAGAATTCCTCCACGGTCATTTTAGCTCAGGAATTCTGGGAGTTGAAGTCCACAAGTTTGAAGATCCTTGGTTTTAGAGTTATAGGCAATGCTGAATGTAAATGCTGCCTGTATAGAAAAACTGACTCCAATATTAATTTTTCATGTACAGGCACTGAATCTTGACAAAACATTTTAAACCTGAAATATTCAGGATGAACAAAGATGAATCAGTATATTATGCAAGTTAATTTTGCACTGTATGCAAAAAAAATGTTGTATGCTGAAAGAAAACTGCAGAGAATGACTCAAAATTGAAAAATCATGTTTACATCAGGACTTTTATTTATGATTCTGTATTGTAATTGCTTAGGTCAGTAAAGTATAAAGTTTCATTCAGATATAGAAGTCTCATTCAGCTTTGCTTCAGTTCTTCAGCACATGAGAAAGAAAGCAAGAGAAAGGGGGGGAAGTAATATTGAATCATTCTGCATAATTTCTTACATAAATCAGGAGTAGTCAACCTGCAATCGCTATGGCTCATGTTGAGATTTAAGTAGTTCAACATAATTTTCAAAAGTCTGTGAGTTGAGAGTGAGAGAGTTAAAAATTCAACACTCATTGTAAGCCAACTTACAACTCACTTGGTCATTAAATTAAACAGATCTAAATATGAGAAATGGCCTTGTTCAAGTCAATAGCACAATTAGCTATCAAGATTTTGTACAAAACCATGCTAAAAGGAGACTAGGATTAAGACTACAAGACTTCTAGAATTCAAACATACAGTTGAATTCTTGTACATAAATAGTATAACGTTATCCAAATATATTTGAATCTGAAATTTCTTTTTCTTAGAGCATTTTCAAAAATCCAAGGCATGAAAGTCTAACAGCACAGAACCTTAAAACACACCATAAAGCAAAACATTCCCAGTTCAAAATTCATCCTTACCAACGAATTAAGCTGCTTAGGCAAATCAGTATCTGTCACTCTACTACAGAAATGATAAAAGTATTTAGGAATAAACCAATACTGCTTTATTATTTGATAGGAGTTGAAATGGATTCAAACGAACTTTCTCCTTCAAAAAACATAGTTATATAACTTAAATCTCAGTATATCAATTCAGATTTTTGTGCTGGATTTCAGTAATTATTCACAGAATATCTCTTGTATAAATGTATTTTGAAAAATATATTATTCCATACAATATTGTAATTTTAATTTTCCTTATTAAACTCCAAAGTAAACAAACAAATTGTATGTTTTACATGCTCCTTTTTATGAAACCAGTTTCTGAATTGACAGAACTTTACTTCTCCTTTTAACAATTTTCCGAGATGGAAAAAACAGCATATTATTTCACAAGGAAGAATAAGGTTCAAAACAGCTATTACCATAAACTCTGTAATTTTAGCTTCTATAAATAGCCTATTATCTTTTAATTCTACTTTACAATTTGCTGATTCTATCCTGCAATCTATTATTGTGTAAAGTATGTTTTATTCAGAGGATTTTGTTAAAAAATGACTTCATTTGTAAGCAATGCTAATTGTAGTTTATTGCAAGAGCTGGCAAACTGTCTTGCTACCAAATATCAAACAAATTCAGAACAATATCAAATACAATTTCAACTAAGAACACCAACATTTCATGAAATGAGTGTCATTTTATGGAATTTGTTAACTCTGTTCATAGTTCTTATGTATTCTACACTATTAATAATAATAATAATAATAATGATGATGATGATGATGTATTCTACAATACAGCCAAAACGCAAAACAAGTGAGCTATTCCAACAACAAAATGCTTTGGTTCAGCTGAACTATGACCCATATTAAAGTTAAATAATTTAACTGAGTTTCTATGCCACAGACCAGTTGTTCAAGTTCAAAATAAAACACGTTTTCCATTTGTGCATATTTGCAATGTAAACAAACCCACAGTCCCTTTTAAAAATCCAACTGCGTACAAACTGGAGGATTGTTTTACTACAAATCCATATTTTGCAGCTTAAGGACATAGCACAAGACAAAATGATTGTCATTTTTTATCTAAAATTTGTAAAGCTCAGATACAACTACATTCTTCCCAGTCTCATCCAGCATGACATGTAGTGAGATCTGAACGGTCATAGTGTAATTTTTTCAATCTTATTATTAAATCTTAATATTTGAAGATTTGCAAGCAAAAATATTACTATTTAACTTGTAAGCATGTACAAGTAATAGATTTGCCAAATGACTGCAACAATTCAAAATTTCCTGCTCTAGATTTACAACGATATTTTCCTAATTTTTCCTCCACCCTTTCTCCTGTTATTGTATGAAAACTCAGCACAAAGAAAGGAAATTAGCCACAACAAATAGGGCCAAGACTTATATTGATTCTGTAGTAGTGTATAAACAATACGAACTAAGCTCGGAAGCTAAAGCTGGCAAATCCTTGCTGTTGTTCGCTAGCAAACCTTATTGCTTTCCTAATGTGCAATCTCTTTTGAATTTTATTGGTTTTTAGAAACCTGCTCTAATCAAATTCTAACATAAGACTTTTGATTCCTTCCTAGCAGAATTACCACAAATACTACAAAGTATGTCACATGATACTGATGTCATTTGATTACTTTGAACTGAAATATGAAACAAGAGAAGGGAACAAACAAGTAGGGAAAGAATATTCCCCTTTTAGAAAGAGATAACGTTAGGGTTGTTCACATTTTGCAGGAAGTATTCCTGCAATACGAAGGAGCAATTTCAGGCTAACACATACCCTCCATTCACATTCCCCTGATGCAGACAGATGATATTCTCCTGATGCAGACAGATGATACTGCATTTGTTTGGGTATAAAAACTTCCAATCTTTGCACAACCACTCTTTATGCAGATTCACTCAAATGCAAAAATCTCTTTGTGCTTGCTTTCGGATGGACCAAGAACAAAAATCTTTTGTCTCACAAATACTCCTTCCCTGCTATTCCTAATGTGGAACAAAAGTATACCAGAAACAAATATCCCCTCCAAGTCAATAAAAATTCAGTTGTTTTTTAAAGATAACAATTCCTCGAAACATCATGCCATTAAATAAACATTTGTGTAATAGTAACATGTTTCCAGGAATAAAAGCTTTAAAAAAAACCTCGTTTTATTACCCTGTAATTCCTTAATTCAGGGTAGAGTTGGAGCGACTGGATGGAGCTGAGAGTTTACTGGCCGGATGCCCTTCCTGATGCCTACCTGCAGTTAAGAATAGATTTTTTTTTATACCTTAGGAGAGAAACATCAGCCACTACGTGAGATTGAACTCTCAACCTCCTGAGTTGGACGCGAGAGTCTTCAGCACTGGGTTACTACGCTGCTCTATGAAAGCTCATACACATTATAAAAATATAAAGGAACATTAAAAGATGATTTAAAGATTTGACATGCTTTCAGCTGCTTTCTTCCTCTTCCTTCATTACAAAGTCATCTCCACATTATTTTGAAAGTCCCTTACTTTCAAGAACAATATTAAGGATGCAGTGGATTGCACAGAGGCAGAAGAAAGTTGAAAAATGTCATTTGTGTGAGTTGACTTCGTTCACACATCCTTTCTCAGAATGCCTGTGGAGATTCTCAGTCACCATAGTCATAGTTGTCTCAAAGATGCTTTTTTTCCTTCAAAAAGCAACTGGACTTTCATCAGTTCTGATGGCAACTGCCATCAGAACTGATGAAACTTCTTGGATGAGAAATGAAACATTTTCTTTTTCTTCAAGAAGAAAAAAAGCACCTTTGAGACATTCTTTCTCAGAGTACATTTTACCAATTTTCTCTCAAAATTAATTCTATTTGAATTTTTATATCAAAGCTAGGCAACTTATGACTTTCCAGAAAGTGTTTAGTCAGTCAGATGTTAGATATGATGGGAGGGTGGTCCATCATTATTTGACAAATTCTCCATCTCTGATTTAGCAGAGCAACAAAGAATGACTTAACATTTACTGAACCAGTTAGAACAGGGCTGTCAAACTTGCGGCCCGCATGTGTCATGCACTGGCCACACCCCTGCCCAGTTTAGCAAAGGGGGAAAAGTCCCTATACATCACGTTATGCTGCCATGACGACACGAGTTTGACACCCCTGGGTTAGAACTATGAGAACACCAATAAGTTAAAAAAGCCACTAAAAATCCTTCCTTCTTAAGGAATAGATTTTTATCAATTTTTCTTCTTTCAGGTGACAGCATAGTGCTTTTCATGTGATGATACTCATAATGGCAAAGATTAATCTTTTCTATGTCCATGAATTTTCAGCATTTTCTGATGTCTATTAGTTTTTCTACTGAAAAATATAGTACCCATAAGTATACATAGAAAAGAACACACACAGACACACAGACACACACTTTCACCTCTATAATGCCAGTTGGAAGAAAAATCTCCCAAGCTATCTGAGAAGCACCTCACTGAACTAGAAATGAAACAAAAAGTTACAATTGATGGGGAAGTGAAGAGGAGAGAAGCACACACATACAAAACCCCAAACCCACAAAGAACTAGACAATTCACAGCACAGAAAATACAGGTAGTCCTCATTTAACGACTACTCATTCAGCGACCACCCATTACAATGGCACTGAAAGAATGATACTTATGACTGGTTCTCAAAGTTCCTGCCAGTCATCCCAAACATGAGTGCTTGGCAACCATCTCACACTTATGACTGTTGCAGTGTCTTGCAGTCACATGAAAATCATTTGTGACAGTTCCTGCCAGCTTCCCACAAAGAAATCGATGAGGAAGCTAGCAGGAAAGATTGCAAGTCACTCCAATAAGTTGCCTGTGAAGACTCTCAGTCATTCAGGCCATAGTTGTATCAAAAGTAGTTTTTATTTTTCAAAAGGCTGAAGATGTTTCGCTTCTTACCCTGGAAGCTTCATCAGTTTTATTGGATGCTGTGGGAGATGGAAGGAGAGTTATTGACAGCTGAGACTGGGAGAGAGGGGGGAGAATGATAGATTCTGACAGGATGATGGGGGGGAGGAAATGGAAAATATTGTGTTTCCTTTGCAGTCAACTGCTCGTAACACTCTCTGAGAACTGTTGTGGTTACTTGGGATTTTATCTGTGACCTCAGGGTCACCTGAATCAGAGGTGTGGAGTCTTCTTGGATTCCAATAAGTTGCTTCCATTTTCTCTTACCTGGCAGTTGCCCCCCTCAGCCCCACCACACCTCACGGGCCACCCATGCACCCTTCCCTGCCTGGCAGCAGCCCCACTCCCACCCCAAAGCAAACCATACTTGCACCATGCTTCACAGGCAACCCGCACATCCTCCTCGACCAACATCAGTCCTGCCTAGCCCAGTTGTGTTCATTGTCACCCACACAATTTTCCCCACCTGGCAGCAGTCACTTATCTGCCTGACAACCTGCTGGCAAGCTACCTGGGACTCAGTGACTCTGTAATCCTCACTTAACGATAGCAACGATAGCCAGTACTGTTGTTGCTAAGCAATGTGGTTGCACAATGCTACACCTTACAACACAGTTTAGCAATAAAATTTTCATCCCACTTGCTGTCATTAGCCGAGGACTACCTGTACTTCCATAAACCCGATGGGCCTTTGGTCTGTTTTAAATTTCACAGATTGGATAAAATGAGCAAAATAAACACATTCAAATTTTACATCAAATACTTTAAAAGACATATATATGAAGACAAAGGATATGAACAAAAAAAACTCAAAAAACACACTTACATGTACACCATGTTTGTGTCTAAATCAATGCAAACCACATCTTGTGGTGGCTCATACAGATCAAAATACCGTGAATCAACTCCAACTATAAATGGGACAGGAGCACTGAGCACTGTTGCCAGAGACAAAGGACAGAGGGGGATGTAGGGACACTGCCATTGAAACGGAAAGATCATCTGAAGGAAAAAATGAAACGAAACCCATCAATTAAAAAGATAATGAAATCTAGGTAACAACCAAGCCATGTTAGATCATGTGAATTTCACAGCACCTGTGAGCAACATTATACAATAAATCAAATTGATTACCGCATAAATAGAATCTGAAATTATTATTTAATCCTTGTTTAGTGTGTACACAAGTCATTTAGCTGCTTGGACATGAGTTCTATCAAACATACTGGGTATATATATAATTTTAAGCTCAAATAATAGGTTTTAATAAGAATTTTATTCCAGATGCTATCGTGCGATTTTCATGTATCTAAATACTACTTTGTAAGCCATACCAGTCAACAGTCACTTGTGCAAATGAAAGAAATATAAGATGACTAAGATATATAATTCATAATGCCGGCAAAAAAGTCTTTGTAATTATTTTGTAAGTATTTTATTTTAGGACCACTTAAATTTATTGTGTGCTGTAACAACAGTAAATTTAAAAGTTAAAGTTCTACCAAAAGTCTAAGTGTATTTTTATTTCTATTGTGGTGGTATAGCAAGTTTCCTGACCACAAACTGCTTGATGTATTCATGTTATTCTAACCCTACTAATATGTTCAATCTGAATTTATATATAATCTCATTTGGATGATGAAACAGTAGTTTTTATTTATTTTTATTTCTATAGTTGCCCATCTTAACAAGTAATTCTGGATGGTGTATAACATAAAAATCAAAAACCAAAATAAATATATATGGTCACTGAGGACAACTATATTATACGTCAGATACAGGAGATGAACTTCAAGAAATCTTTCATGCAATTTAAGAAAACAGTGAAATATCATTCTTGAAAAAAAAATTAGGAGGGCAAAGATAATTAATCAGATTAAAAGAGTATTGAATAAAAGCAAAAAAGTTTATTTCTGACTCTTATCTTCTTAAAATGCAGCTTCTGTATGCATTGAAAAAGCATGTATGTTTACTTCCTAACTGCATTTCAAACTAAATAAAATGGAAGCCCAGGATCCCATCAATCTTTCCAATGATAAAATAATAGCAACAGAATTATAAAAACAAACAAGTTTCTCTTCCCTAAAGGGCTTGACAATAAGCTTCTGAGAACTGGAGGACTTCTGCAGAGAATCAGGAAGAAAACTTTGATGGAGATATGTAGGATCTGTTGCCTGAGCAAAGGGGGCTGAAGTGTTTTTAAGATGAGAATGAAATAACATTTGGAAGCAGGACTATAAGCAGAAAAAGGAGTATAGCATAATCAGACTTGCAAGATTATGGCCAATAACAATAAAAGGACTTTTAGCGTTCCTGTGTAGTTGATTTCCTGATCTTGTCTGATGGGGATGCTATCTGCTCAGAAACATAAGGAAGGAATGAAGGGGAAAAGCTGCATTGTGGGTATGGATTTGATCCAGAGAATTTGAAGATTACCAAAATACTGTGTATTATAGCAGGGTTTTGCTTTTTTTTTTTGCTTTTTTAATGACTTTAGTAACCAAAAGGAGCCATTAAGAAAAAAGACCAATCTGGAAAGGGAGGGGGGGGGGGGGGGGGGGGGGGAGAGAGAAAGCCTATTGTTCTGATCCAATAGTTCCTTTAGGCATTTAATTAATCCTTTTGCAGCAAAAAGCTTTGAATCGTTTAGACTATCCTAATAGAAAATACTTGCAAGTTAATTTCCCCTTTAGGAAAATAAACAATTTAAATGACCAGGTGTGCTTCATCTTATTCACATAAACAAAATATATTTATTCTGCAATTTAAATATTTCGTTCAAGCATAAAAAACTTTAATTTTTTTCAGAAGGTCACGTGAAACAAAAGAAAAAAAATTAAGTGTTCAATGTTTGCAAAGCAAGACAACAAATACCAAAGAACTAATCCAGATAAAAATTTGGTTATCAAAATATTCAAACTTATTAGTACTTACAGCAGCCACAGCTTCGGCAACTCCAGTCAGCACAGCTGGACAGAGAGAATGTAGTAGAATCTTGCCTTCCAACAATACAGAGAGGAGTAAAGTAGCACAGTTTTCTGGTCCAAGGTTCATAAGCAGAGTGCTGTAGTTTGCCCCACTACAATGAGATCAGGATATTGAGGACTGTTACATTCATTGCTCATGAATGACAATAATAATAATAATTGGTTAAAGTTATATGCCACCCAACTTCCAGCGACTATCATATACTGAGTAGTAAAATAGGAAAACCTATCTGATCCCCTTAACAACATATTTTATTATTATAACAGAAACTTATTGAAGATGGGGACTACAGAGATAGAATGTTTAAATAATAGAAAAAAAGATTAGGGAGCGGGGTGTCTGAAGTTTTTTTTATTTCTTGAAATGAGCACAAGCCATATTTGTTTGATCGTTACTTTGGTAACAGATATTTCAAACTGTCCTTCAAAACCATTCTCTATGTCCTATACAACAAAGCTTGGAAAATCAGGGAATTAACTCACAGTAGAGCTGTTTATCAAAGGCTATTGAGGAATTCTTTCAATTTGTCCATTTTTAAAAAAAATCAAAAAGATTAAATAGGGCTGCTTTTCAGAGAAGGTACTACTGATTACCAGTGCAATGAAACAGCTATTTCCTGTTAGAAATCAATGTGAAATTCCACTATGTTCAGTGACCGGGGGAGTGGAGACGGACATATGTCCAATACAAAAAACAATTTGGAAACATATGCAAGTAAAATCTGAATAATTAGCATGTTGCTCATTTGCTTCTAAACAAATTATGATTTACTCTTATGTAAACTGGCTCTTAATATATTCATTCAGCTGCATCTTTAAAATACTCCACTGACTATTATTACCTGAGTGGTAAAGGTGTACAAACTGGTTGAGATAATATTAATGCATCATGGGCCGAAAGCTGTAAAAAACAAATATTAGTTATTTGACAGTTTGAGATTAGCAAACTTTGACAGTTTGAGATTAGCAAACTAATCAATCAGGTGTTAATTTATCAATCACATTAGCCCCTGAAATATGCATTATCTACAACTATATGCGTAGGAAACGGACATGACTAAGATAGGCATGGCCGACCAGCTGTAAATTTTGCATTTCTAATCCTCTGGCACTTCACATATATTAATTATAAAAACTTTCACTGTATTTCTATAAGGTGGTTTGACATAACTGCTTTTCTACCATGAAGTGTCAGCAGGGGGTCGGGAAGAATAAGAATGGGAAACATTAGATCAACTGTCTCACTCCGGTAGGATTGGCCTGCTCTACTTGCTCCAGAAGGGGCCTGCTAGGCACCACATCAGCCAAGGAATTTTAGCTGAAGGGGCCAGGAGAGGAGCATTTTCTGCCGTGGCTCCCATCCTTTGGAACACTCTGCTCCTTGAGCTCATCCTCTGGGCCTTCCAGAAGAGCCTGAAAACCTGGATCTGCTGATTGACTGGCTTGGGGACACAATGAGGCTGTCCCATTATGAAAATGGTTGTAGACGAAGGAAATCCCACCTCCACCCTGTTTACATATTGATTCCTTTCTTAACTAGTTTTCTTTTTGTTAATTTTCAATGCTTTAATTTTTGAATGTTTTTTTTAATATTCTAGTTGTTATACGATGTTGTTTTATGATTTTGTAAGCTGTCCAGAGTTGTTCGACAGTGAGATGGGCAACATATAAATTTAATAAATACATAAGTCGCTAGCATTTTACAAATCACAGAATTCTCACTTTATGCCCCACTTTTGAGCTGCACCGTTTCAACCTTATCTGAGAAATCGAAACAATGCAACCTATCAGTTCATATTTCTGATTCCAATGCTAGTCGTTACAATAAGAGAAGTAAATAGTGAGGTATTTTAATATTTTAAAACATTTAAAACATTTTAACATCAGCCTCTGTGGCGCAGTGGTTAGAATGCAGTACTGCAAGTTACTTCTGCGGCAGCCAGCTGCCTACAATTTGGCAGTTCAAATCCCAGCAGGCTCAAGGTTGACTCAGCCTTCCATCCTTCCAGGGTGGGTAAAATGAGGACCCAAATTGTTGGGGGCTGACTCTGTAAACCGCTTAGAGAGGGCTATAAAGCACTATAAAGCAGTATATAAGTCTAAGTGCTATTGCTATTTATAGGAATAGTTTGATCAGATACATGGAAAATAAAGAAAGCATTATGAAGCAGTATATGAGTCTAAGGGCTAGTGATAGTATTATTTAACTGTATCAAATTTCTAACTTACCTGCACAAGGATTCTTGGTCTTTGTGGTGAAGGGAAAGGTATGTTTTGCATAAAGTGAGATATGTGCCTGTAAAGAAATTTGGTAAAGCATCTGTTACTTCAAGCATTTAAAGTATTCTGTCATCAAGAACAGCATCCAGTGAGAGTTACATGAAACAACCATGGAAATGGGAAGATATTTTTGAGGGGATCTGTCACTTACTTTTCAATTGGAAGAGGATGCGGCCCAGACACAGACAGCTTATAGATAAACATCAGAAATTTTCGGAAGGCTTCAAAGAAAGGCCAGTGTGACAGAAGGCAGATGCATTTGTTGGAATTTATAGATTTGGAGGTAACTTTTTTTCTCTCTACAGCTGTCAGAAGACCAAGCTGCATGTGTTGCTTTTCATTTAATAACTCTTGTGCATAAGGCTCATAAAACTGGATAGCTGCACCATATACCTAAAGTAAAAACGGGAAAGAGTAGGAATGGCATTAACAGCTACAGAAATTGGATAAACTAACAACACTTGATCAACTAAAAAATGAAAGGAAAATATTTCCCCATTCTGAATCCTCCACACAATCAATTAGATACCAAAAACCTCACACTAACAATATAAACACAATTGTGATCTTTTTTTATATCATTAGTGGATTATGTTTTGTGATAATACCTAGCTTCGTCAGAGATGAGAAGTTCATTAGCATCCAAGCATCTAGTAGGCTGTAACTTATTTTTATTTGAGCTATAATTTAATTGATAATTTAATGGCATAGTTAAGCAGAATATTTAATCTTGATTCATGCATTTGAATATCTGTGTTAGAATCTTTGTTACCATATTTAGAAGCAGCTGAGCTTCAACAGTTAGGGTAAGATACACAAAGATAAGAAATGTTCCAATTATCTCCTCTAACTCCCGCACCATGAGTTTGAGATAGATTTCAAGATTTTAGTGAAGGCTTTCAAAAAGTGACATTACAAACACACACTAAGGATTATTTAACTAGTACATAAATTAAATATTTTTCTACCCAAAATTTTATTGGTAAAATAAAGACATGGTATAAGCAGCAAATAAAGTAGTTTTTGCTTACAGAATGTTTTGTCCAGTAACTCTTTTAAGTTAAAACAGTGCTGAAAAACTGACTTTATGACCAATGCCCACTTTCCAACTTTCACAGTAGTCCTGTCACATGATCTCAATTACACTTGTATTGTCTTGTGACTGACCTCTTTCTCCCCCTCGCCTTTGCAGGATGGAGAGATTGGAGAAGAAGGGATTACAAGAGAGTAAACAGGGGAATATACAGCTGTTTGTGTGGTGCCCTCAGGGCTGCTAGCATCACTGCATTACTTTTTATGTGTATTTCCCACTGTGTGCCTGCTTACTCTCTTGTAACCCCTTCCTTTCCAATGAGTGTAAATGCAAACATTAATTCCCTTCTTGCTAATTATCCCAGTGCTCATGTGAGCATTCCAGGGTGTGGCTAAGTGGGGGGACAGGAAAGCACAACTGTAGCCCTCTGGTTTTCCACACAGCAACTCCTTTGCTTATAACAGAGCTGCTAGTTCCAATTGTGGTTGCTAAATGAGGACTAGCTGCAAACACAAAGGAGCTAACCCTTATGTTCATTTGTTGCATGTTTAGGCTTGTCTTCCTAAATGCTCCAAGGTGTATCAAGATAGAGAGAATAGTGCGTGTGGGGGGGTATGTATGTATTTGTTTACAGTTTAAAAATAAATATTATGGGATAAAGTAATATTTTCATTTAGAAATTTAATAATAAATGAAAGCAAAATATTACATTTCTCGAAACATACTTTTTCTGCAGACAAGGCAGTCAAAACAAATGTTGAGAATACAGGTAGTGGGTATTTTGTTTGAGGATCCCAGCATTCAATGGTAGCCCCCATTGGAAGACAGAAGAGAGGTACTGATTCAGACAAGGGGAATGACTCATAGTCATCTTCTGGATATCTGAATATTAAACCTTTAAAGCATGAAAATAAACAAATAAGTATTTTGTCCATACACAACAGTATGTTGTTCTTTCTATTCTGAATGCTGACTTTTTAAAAATGCCAAAGAGTATACAAGCTAAATACCACATGGTATAAAATTAAATTTAAAAATACCCCCTCGCCTTTCAATAATTCACCCAAAAGATTCCTCTGAGTATCAAATGTTTTGCTGAATGGTCTGAATGCAAGGGACTGAAGTACAGTGAGGCATCTCCCCAAAGAACACATCCTCTAATGAAATTGCCCCTACTGGACTTACTCAGGCGAGCCTGGGTGTGCAATTGACGCACAGGAGGATATTCCGTCTGTGGCTCTTCAGCGCACCCAAGGGGTGAAAATTAATGAAGAGCTGTCCCCTCTATGCCTGGCTGTTGGACCGTTATTGGTGATTCAGGGGAAGCCGCATGATAAACGGGGCAAAGAACAGGCTACAGAATCAACTGTTGCCTGGAGAATCCACACAATGAAGAATGCTGCTTTTCCAAAACGATCACTGAAGCCAACCTTTGCCACGTCTCTCTCAGGCCAAGACTGAGTCGTGACTGGGGACTTCCTAGCCATACAGGAGGAGGCGTGGCAAAGATTGCTGACTCAGTCTCTCGGCAGTAAGGCAGATTCAACCCATATGTGTGGATTTTTCCATAGGCATGCTGGAGAATGCCATGTTTTAACTCAAAAAATTCAGTTTCCCTATTATTTCTTGAAATCTTGACCATTCTCCTTCATTTCATTGCAATGACTTTTTATACACCAAGAGGTGTTCAATATAAGGAGATTGAATTTCCAACTAGTTTCTTTTATATATTTTGTTTTGTTTCCAATACTATATACAGAAAAGTATTAGAATGATAAGGCTCTTCATCATGCAATTCATGACTGATAAAGATATACAATGGAAAGATACAGCAAAGAGAATATAAATAGTTTTGAATCTTTTCATGACAACATCATATATTCAAAAACTATTTTTAAGGATCCTCATCTAAGGATCACCTTAGATGAGTCAAAAGGATTAATGAATGTTCTTTGATCAAGCAATTTCAGTTCACTATTTAACAGGCAAGTTTAATGTATTACAAAATGCTGTCTTAATATTAGTGTCTCCTAATATATTGCAATTTATAAAAATAAATACTTTACCAGCTTTATATGCAATTGAGTTAGAAGCTGGAACTGACTTCTTGTAACAGATGTATACACTGGAACCCCACTGTAATGAACAAATAAGAAACATTTTCCATAATACAGGAATTATTTTATTTTTAATCCTTCTAATGCTAAAGACAGTAATAATAATAATAAAGATTTGGCTCATAATACATAATCACATATTTGCAACATTAACCACAACCCAAATAAAGCACAAAATTTTGATTCTGCTATTATTAGAAGTTGTATATTTACAGATTCCAAGACACAAGACAAATAAACTTGGTATTTGCTAATAATTCCCTCCTATATGGTAGTAAATATTTTTCACAGAAAGCTACAGAGACATGTATGCTAATATATGAAAGGCAGTTAGCTCTAATTTTAGCTCTAATTTTTCACCTTCCCATTTTAAAAATGCATATGCTGATTTAAAGCAAGCTTCGAGACCAAATTGCAATCTTTAGTTGGCCTGATTCATGTCTAATGTGGATTTGGAAAGACTTGACTAAATTGTGGTCCACAATGAATAAATGTGGCAGATATATAGTGTAACAGGATGGTTAAAGTTAAGATAATGAAGAAACCCAAGTTGACTTCTCCATTCAAACATGCAGTTCACAAGATGACTTGGATCAGTCACTGTTTTTCAGCCCCACATATCTAACAAAACTCTTGTGTACATAAAGTCCTCAAAAGCAGAATATAAATGCAATAAGAACGTATGTATGTGTATGTGCTGTAAATACATATATAAACAGAGCTATTATTCATTTTCACTCAGTAACCCAATTCGTATGTGTTACAAACATAAAGACCATCTTTTTCCTTTCATAAACCAACAATCTTCCAAAGTTCAATACATACTTTTCCTCCCACCAAAAAAGTACCGTATTTGCCGGCGTATAAGACGACTTTTTTGCCCTGAAAAACATGCCTCCAAGTGGGGGGGGTCGTCTTATACGGCGAGTATATAACAAACTCTATATTTTGAGTGGAAATGTTGGGGGCTCGTCTTATACGCCCAGTCGTCTTATACGCCGGCAAATACGGTAACAGTTGCCTATCTCAAAGATTTTGGCAACAATAGTTTAGGAACAAAAAAAAAAAAAAGCAAAGCTGTGGAAACTAAAGTGATACAAACTGAATTCTGACTTAAATGCCCTTTTTACGTATATTTATATATTAGCAGCACTAATAGGTTCCACATTTCCCCCACACACTGCTTTTTGAATGGCAACTTTTCAGATAACGTATTATTCTCACCATGCCACAATTTAAATTCTTATCAACTTTGCAGAAAGTGTGAGGTGGGGTTTCTCCTTTACTAGTTACAATAACACATATGTCGGTGACAGCCAAGGAGTTCTGAGCTCGCACTGGAAGAGCCCTCCGAAAGGTGATAAAGATTCGCTGGGAAGAGGCTGAACTATTATTGACATTTGCACAGCGGCCATAGGGAGTAGCCTGGATCACCTCACAATCTTGCTTTACGACCTCCTTCCCTTCATATAAAACTCTGCAGATAAGAGGAAATAACACACATAGGAATATTACTATTCAATAAACTGTTCAGTTATTCTTCTCTCATACACAATAGTCGGCCCCAAGACAAAGAACACTGGAATAATTCCAAGTGCATATTAGACAGGCAGATAAGATGAACTCCATAAAACTTTCTGGTTAAAAGATCTTAAAATTGAAGATGAAAGGCATATGATCCTTTTATTTAAAGCAAAGGAGTTGGGTTAAACCAGGGATGAGCTAGGTTCAAAACTGCCTCCATTTAGGAAAGCTTACTTTAGATAAGTCATGATAGGTAGTTTTTGACTTACATAGGTCATTTAATGATGGCTTTAATTAACAATGACCTCAGAAAGCGTACAGCCTGTAAAGCACTTGTGACCATCACAAAATGTCTCAGACTCTGGGTGCTTGGCAACCTGTTCACACTTATGACCAGATGCCAAGCTCTCCATGAACATGTGATCACCATTTGCAATCTTCTCTGCCAGCTTCCCCAGAAAACCAGTGGGGAAGCTAGCAGGGAAGGTTGCAACCAGCTGCTCCTGCGTGCTGAGGTAACTCCCTCTTATCTCTGGGGATTGGCTGAAAAAGCTCTTTGCCAAAGGATTTCAGGTCTATGGAAGCTTGTACAAAGTGCTAAGATTGCGGTTGTTGAGTGAAACAGTCACACTATCCTTAAAGACAGTTTTGTTCAACGATCAAGATTCCAGTTCCACTTGTGGTTCCAAGTCGAGGAATACCTATCCTTAGCCCAACTTATCTCAAATGGTTGCTATTATGAGAAAAAAAGAGTTCATGAAAGGAAGGCAGATTATAAATCTGATAGCAACTAGATACAAGTTTTGGGACTGCAATTCCCAAATTCTCAGACCATGTTGGCTTAGGAATATGGGAACTGTCATCTCAAATCATCTGGTGGCCTCAAAGTTGGGGAAGGCTTTTACAAAGTTTTGTCAATTTTCATGTCTCTTTGCTATCTTTTAATTCTTTACTTTGTGCAACATCTTCATCTACTTTGCAATACTATGCTTATCAACATAAAAGAGTAGCCCATTACGTATAAACCAATTAATACAACATGAGGTCTGCCAAAGGATTTCTAAATTATTTCTTTTAAAGTGAACAATACTACAAAAAAGTCTCAAAATATTTTTAGTAATATTTATCACAAAATAGTACATGTTTAGCAACAGTATTGTTCTATTTATCATGTGGTGGCACTGACAAAATTTGGGCACATAACATGGCCACTGGTGTAATGTCCATGAACGTTTATTTGCCTGTATATGATTCAGTTAAACAAGTACCTGTAATTTCACATTTTTTAAAATTGATTTGCAATGACAAGCATGCAATCCATACAAAATAATATCTGATATTATCAGCTAGACTAGAACCAGTGGTTTCACAATAACTTTTTGTTACAGTTTTGCAATTATTGTATTGTTCTAGCATTCATGTTTCAAAATATTGTGGCTCAAAATCCTACGTAATGCTATACTGATGGTAGAAACTACCCACAACTATAAATAAATCACTATGTCATCATATTGCACCTATATTAAGCTTAATATATTTCTGTTACATGACATACTTATTATCATTTGTATATAGTACAGCATATCCTTGTCCACATCTTCTGTGCGTGTATTTTTCCTACAATTAAAATACTTTAAACTTCAGGGGTGGGGACGGGTTGGAAATCAACTATCACCTCTTAGCAACTGCTTCCTTTTTGCCCAATTATTATAGATTGTAGGCTACCTAAAATTCAAAACTAGTCACTGGCATGTCCACTTTGGAGTATTTTATGAACTTTGTATATTATAGAGATGAATGACCAAATGAATATTAGATACAGTACACCATAAGTCATTTATAAAATCAACCATCCAATTTGCTTCAAAATAAAGAATCAGAATAATTTATATAGCACATAGCTAATAAATAGATTTACAATACAAACTAAGTAACTAACTTAGTTTCTTACAAACTAAGAAACTGCTTGTAACCATTTTAACAGATCCTTTCTCCCTTCATCACAATACTGATGCCCACAAATATTTCAATGTCAGCTTACCCAATGTCAGTAAGCGGTGGTTTGTCCCTGCTTCTCTTGTAGCAAAGAAAAAGCTCCGGACTTTTAAGACTTCCATAGTTCAAATTGGCCTGAAGTCCTGTAGGAGTTGCTTCTACACATGTATATCCCTCAGGAACAGTTTCACCTGCTGACTTGATGATCACTGCAAGGTCAGTGATTGGAGCCTTTGGACCAAAAGACTTGGTTTCAGAGCGATTTCCCTCTTGATCTAGAAGGGCTGATGTATCCGTGAGACCTGCCACTACAAAATAATCAACCACTCTTGGACCTTTATCTTCTCTCATTGTTATGCCTAGGATCCCTGCAAAAAAAAAAAAAAGTTGCTTTCAATTATCTTATCAAATTGGTAACATAATACACCTTGAGAATGCATAACGAGATAAAACATAGGTTATCAATGAAAGGTTTCCCATCACACTCAAACATGCAAATTGACTTAGTTATAATGGCTGATAAAAGCCAGGTTTATTAAAAATGCATACAAAAATTCATTAAAGTGGGAACTATAAAAAGCTTAAAAGGTTCCAAGCACTAGTTGAAGTAATGGAGGAAGACATTCAGCATCCAATCAAGAACCAGTCGGGTAATCCTTTTCTCCTTGAAGTTAAGATTAAAATACAACAATGCACCTAACTGAAATAATGAATATACTTTTCCAGTAATTATTAAACATATTAAAATGTCTCAAGAGTTACTTCAGGGGAAAGTGTACCATACAGTATTAGTCAATGAGTTCTCCTTTACTAATGCAATTGTTGTACAAGTTAAAAACCCGCCTTTGTGTATAGCATAATCAAAACACATAGCAGTGAATAAGAAAAGCAAATTAAGTCCTACAAATTGTGATGCACACATATAAGCCACACAGGAACATCACAACATGAAAAAAGTTTTACGTAAAAAGGACTAATATCTGTCAATCTAGACTAATCCTTCTAACTAGAAGATGAGCCTTGATAAATTACTCAAAATACAAAAATCTACTGTTCACAAAACCAGTAGTATTTCTTGCCCTATCTTGATCTAAAACATACAATATGATTTGTACTATCAAACTGTAATTAAGCATTGCTAATTCTGCCCATAGTGTGACAAGTAGGAATAACTGTCTGAAATTTCAAGTGTACATTCCAGGGACTTCTAAGCTTCCTCTTCTTACAAATCAATGAAGGCAACTTCCAGGCACAACAAACACCTGTTTTGATATCATAAAACTATTTCTCTTGTTAAGAATAAGAGTATAAGAACCATTTTCTGTTTTAACAGAATAAGTATGGAGCACTCCCACCCTCCTTACCCACATTACCTCTCGGCTCAGGGGCTGAACACCCTGCTTAGATTTAAGCTTCCTCTTGTCTCTTTTTGGAACAGCTGCCTGCTGAAAGAATTAGCTTAGCTTATGGCAATCCTAGCAGGCATAAAACTGAGATCGTTCCACAAGCCTTTTAGCTCATCCTTTTATCCAGCCCTGAGACATTTGCAGGCAGCAGCAGCAGCTTGTAATATTCCCTGCTGGCTTCCCCAATGACTTTATGGGGAAGCCAGCAAAGAAGATTGCAAATGGCAATTACATGATTGCAATTGTAATTTCTGCAAAATATTGGGATGACGGAGACTAGGATTGTAAAGAGAAAGGGCGTTGGTACTTACCTGATACGCCCGTTCTCTGTGAGCTGTGAAGAGCATCCAGAAGTGGGAGGTGCTTCAATCTCTTCTGGAAAGGCTGGGCTTAAAACTCCGGGACGCTCCTCCTCCTCCTCCTCCAAGGGACACCTCCCCAGCATCCCCCAGTTTTGCGAAGACTGAGTGCCAAAGTCCAGAACTCATCACCTAATCTGGATCCCTGACTGGAACGGAACCCCCCAGATGGAAAGAAATGGGTGGGGCTGGATGCTCTTCACAACTCACAGAGAACGGGCGTATCAGGTAAGTACCAACGCCCTTTCTCCCATGAGCTGTTCAGAGCATCCAGAAGTGGGACATACCAAAGCTTGGCCTGTCCTTAGGGAGGGACTCCGTCTGGATCGAAATCCACTCCCAAACTCTGTGGACCCTCTGCAGGACTCTTCTGCCAAATAAAGCGTCCGCTGAGGCATAGACATCAATTTTATAATTTCTGACAAAGGGAGATGGTGAAGCCCAAGTTTCCGCTCTGCAAATTTCGTCTATGGAAGCCCGTGTGGCCCATGCTGCTGATGTTGCCGCACTCCTTGTCGAGTGGGCTGTAATGCCCTTAGGAACTGAGATGGACTGGCATTCGTAACTTTTAGCTATGGTGGCTCTCAACCATCTACCGATGGTCGTTGATGACACCTTTTGTCCTAAAGTGGATGGGTTGAAGGATAGGAATAGAGCCTCAGATTTTCGAAATGCCGCCGTGTGGTCTAGATAGATGCTTAAGGCCCTTCGAATGTCAAGTCGATGCCATTGATGCTCCAGTCTATGAGATGGTTTCGGATAAAAATTTGGAAGCACCAACTCCTGTGCTCTGTGGAAGGCTGAATTTACTTTAGGAGTGAATGATGGATCCAATCTGAGAATCACTCTGTCTGCATGAAACACGCACAGGTCCTTTCTCATCGACAATGCTGCCAATTCGGAAATCCTCCTTGCTGATGTGATTGCAATTAGGAAGGCCACCTTATATGTCAGGAATTTAAGACTAGTGGTTCTTAAAGGCTTGAACGGGCCAGTTGTAAGTACGGTTAACACCTTGTTGAGGTCCCAGGTGGGATAGCGGTGAATTACAGGAGGTCGTAAGTTTGCAGCACCCATAAGAAAGCTGCGGACATGTGGATGGTGCGCTATGGAACGGAGGTCACCCCAGGCTATCACCAAGGCTAAAGCTACCACCTGTCTGCGTAAAGTATTTGGAGATAGGCCCTTGGTCAACCCCTCCTGTAAAAAGTCCAATAATTGTCCTATTGATGGGGCAGTTGGGTCGATCTTAGTTGGGAGATCTATAGAGGTCAGGACATCATTCTCTCTGATGCTGAGCAGAATGGACTGGAGAGTAGTCATCTTGAATTTTCAATAAACCAATGATCTGTTCAGATGTTTGAGGTCTAGAATTGCCCTCCAGCCCCCCGAACTCTTTGGGACCACAAACAATAGAGAGTAACAGCCTTGAACCCGCTGTTCAGATGGGACCTCTCTAATGGCCCGAATATGTAGAAGATGATTGATAGCCTCCTGCATCAACGCCCTCTTAATGGGGTCCGTGGACCTAGGACTCCTAATGAAAAAGTTCGGGGGGGAGGATTGAAACTCTAGCGCCAAACCAAACCTAATAGTGTCCTTGACTGACGCATCAGAGGTGGAGCTGTCCCATTGATCAGCAAACAATTTTAGCCGCCCTCCAATGGGAACTGCTGTCAAGGACTCACTTGGGGCGACGAAAAAATCGGACTCCGGTGCCTCTGGGGTTTCTTCTGTTTTGGCCTCCCCGCTGATCTCTATCGGAAGATTCAGACCTATCCTGTCTAAAACTGGGCCTGTAGCCTGATGTTCTTTGCGATCTGGCAACGCATTTTTTATTTATTTTATTTATTTATTTGATTTGCCAATTGTTTACAAGATAATAAGTATAAATGTATACATAGTTGTGAATACATGAAATGGGTACATATAAGAAAAATAAAATAAGAGAAACAATAGGACAGGGACGGTAGGCACGTTGGTGCGCTTATGCACGCCCCCTACAGGCCTCTTAGGAAAGGGGTGAGGTCAATAGTAGACAGTCTAAGGTTAAAGTTTTTGGGGTTTGGGGAAGAAACTACAGAGTCGGGTAGAGTATTCCAGACATTGACCACTCTATTGCTGAAGTCGTATTTCCTGCAATCAAGTTTGGTGCGGTTTACTTTGAGTTTGTATCTATTGTGTGCTCTTGTGTTGTTATGGTTGAAGCTGAAGTATTCATTGACAGGTAGGACATTGCAATGTATGATTTTATATACCATGCTTAAGTCAGACCGAAGACGACGTAATTCAAGGTTTTCTAGTTCTAGAATTTCAAGTCTGGTGGCATAAGGTATTCTACAACGAGTAGAGGAGTGGAGAATTCTTCTTGTGAAATATTTCTGGACTTTCTCAATTGTGCTAATATCAGATACATAATGTGGGTTCCAGGCTGATATTGATATACTATCAAGGCATGATATACTATCAAGGCATGGGCCTTGATAGTAGGGCCGAAAGGAACCCCTTCGAAACGACTGGGGCGTTCTGCTTTCAGACCTCCAAAAAAGAGGGGGAAGCACTTTTTTCTTGTTTCTATTCTCTATAAGGAGGGGCTCCAAGACACTGCCAAATAATTTATATCCCAATATTGGGGCTGATGCCAACTTGCATTTATGCTTGGTATCCACCTGCCAATGCCTGAGCCATAGCAGTCTCCGTGCTGATACGTGAGATGCTATGGCCCTAGACGAGAATTTGACTGCATTAAATGTGGCGTTGGCGGAGAATTCTGCCGCTGCAATAATTTTAGCTATGTCCTGGTGGGCTCTGACATTCGTTGGGAAAGGTTGAAGAAGAGGCCAGTGCCACAATGGGCTCATCCACTTCCGGAGTTTTGAGAAAATTTGAAAACTCTGGTGCCAAATTATAATATCGTTTATCGTACCCTGTTGGGGCTGGGTAGGATGCTGCTGATGCCCATTGATTTTGTACTAATTCAGCAAACATACCACGGACAGGAATAGTTTCTGCCTCATTAGCCAGTTGTGAGAATATTAGATCCTCGGATTCGTCCTGAGACCCTGTTGACAATGGATGAGGGCTTGATGTGCCTAGTTTAGCGGTGTTCTTTGCTTTGAACAGTAAGGATTTAAAGAGGTGCGGGCGAAAAAGGCCAGAAAAGGTAGGTTGGTCTGGAATGAGGCCTTCGTCGTCCGACATTCCCCGTTCTAGTGGGTCAGCTTCTGACAACCCCAAGTCCATCTGATGGATCGACCCCACCTCCATGGGAACATCCTGGTCATCTAATTCCACCTCCTCCCGAAGACCCTGGGCTGGTATGTTAGGAATATTGGGGAATACCTGGGTTTGATGTTGTCCCATATGCGCAAAGGATCGAGCAGACAGGGATCCCGCATCCGAAGTGGCCGAGAAGTGTCTGGTCCTGATGGATTGCTGAACTCCAGCCGCAATGCCCCTTTGAATCGCCATCTCCATCCATTGCCTCATTTCGATGGGGATAGTCTCAGGTAATCCCTCCTCCTGTTTTAGCCCGGCGACTGTAGGGGTGAAGGTTACCTCTGGGATTAGCCGGGCAGTGCTCATTGGAGGAGATGTGCCTAT